CATGCACTCTTAGCCACTGCCAGTAATCCGAAATGATTGATTGACACAAAGTGCAATGGGCGATACGATTTGTCTCCTCGTTGCGCATCTCTTTAAGCCACTAAAATTTCAATATACCTTTTTTTCTACCCAAATTGTATCATTTTAGGAGCAGGGGGATCTTAATAATCCACAGCAGCAATGTTATAAAGAGACAAAAGTTTTTTTTTTCATAGTTATATAATTTTAAAAATTATTTATTAAAATAACACTATTTTAAAACAAAATATTAAAACGTGTTGTTTTAATGGAGACAAAGAAGAGTTTACTATAATCAGCAAGGATAACACATTAGGGATCTATTTAGAAAATTTTATATACAACTTATAAAATAAATTCTTATTTTTTATATAGTTTATTAATATAAATTACTTTTACTTTATTTGAAAAGTTTATAACACAAATTATTATTTAACTCTTGTTAAATAAATATTTAATTAGATTTTTATTTTTTATTTTTTATGTGTGTGAGCACAGTCTTGTTAGTCATATTCAATAATCATTAATAATTTAACATTATAAGTTTATATTAGTAGCATGGTATATTCTCCTAACAAATAATAATACTTATGCTGTGTATGAGAAAGTCAGTCGTTATGACAAGTCTTTTTGTTTCCATTTTTTTGTTTTGGTCCCAACATATGGAAGTAAGAATCTCTCAGATGTGGATAGTGTATGAACTAACTATTGACTCTAACATGGTGGTGGGAAAAATGAAGTCTTGAGGAACATTAATTGGAGTATAGAATGTAAGAGAGGCCATGTGTTTTCCACTCTCATGGTATTCTGTCTCAACCTCAAGTGGCCTGCAACCTCCACCATCAATGTTGGCAGCACATTCGTGATATATATACAAGACCCTAAAGCAAAGGCATCAGAATGCATTCACTACACTCCCTTTGCCAATGGATAACCCTCCTTTTGTTTTTTACACACTTAGGTTTGAGGCAAGTATTTATACTCTTATCCCAAACCAATTAAAAACCCAATGAAATTAAGTTTTTCTTAAAGTCAAGGTTGGGTGATTAAAGTCACAAGTAGATACAAATTTCTCTCATTTTTACTCTTTATTTGCCCCTTAAGTGTAAGTTAAACTCACCTAGACATGTTAAGCATAAGACAAAAACATTATCTACTACTTTGAAAGAGGATATGTGCTAATATTATTCTCTTTATGAGAAACACATCTATCGCTTTTGCAATTATATAGTACCACTTCACTTATAGATTTAAATATGTACGTAAAGTAGAAGAATTTTTTAGTATGCAATGGCTGAAGTACACTAATAGTAGAGTACGAGATATCTTATATTTCATTAGCCTTAAAAATTTCTTATTAACCTATATATGTGATTCTTTTATTTCAGCCCACTACAAAATAAAATTGTAATTTATTAATAGTTTAGTATTAAATTAACTTTTATTAGTGTAGTCTTTATCTAACAAAAGTTAAACTATTACTATAAATATTGTCAGCTTATATCAACAGTATAATATATTATAATTAAAAATTAATTTGTTTGTATATAATAGATATATATTAACAATATATTAAATTTTATTATAATAGATCATTTTGTTAATGTAAATTCCTAATGTTATAGTAACAAAATTATTTTTCAATAGATAAAGACTATACTAATAAACGATTCGAATGCTAGGTAAATTTTATTTATTAATAAATGATGATTTTGTTTAATGATCCATCTAAACAAATTATTTTGTATTCCAAATTGAAGTGCCACGTAAACCTATAGACTTTATTTTGCTACTTGACATTTTAAATCAGTTTTTGTTTATTTTTTGGTATTTTAATAAAGCTGAATGAAAAAGCATTATTAGAATGAGAAAGTAATATTGTAAATATTTAATTAAACACATGAATGTATGTATTTCTGATAAAAACGACTTTTTAAATGCTTGTATAAAACGTTAAATGACAAGTATATTAAAACGGAAGGAATGATAAATATATGAGTGATTGACTTGATGGTTAACCAAGACTGTAGTAATGAACACAATAATCATACTGCAATTGTACGTAGGAGCATACAAATTTTCTCAACGAATACAATTCCAACATTGAATCAAACATTTAATCATATGATGGTAGCAGCTCAACCAGAAATGTCTATTCAGATTATGGATGGATCTTTCACATCCAGATATTCCATACATTGAACAAAACACTTGTTGCCACATGGTAACAATTCAAACTACAAAGAGGTGAGGTACGTAGCAAAATTGGAAATATGCTATTTCATAGACCAAGTTCTTTCCACTTTAAGAAAAGGTACATCTTTAACAATCATTTGTTTCCTTCTACAACATAACCAGAAGGCAGCGCATAACATGGTCTTAGAAAAAATTAGACCACGATGGACCATTGAATATACGGGAAGGGGTGGTAGAGCTTTGACGGCTACGGACGGTGAACATCAAATTTACAAGAACCACATGCCAATTTTAATTTGAAAATATCGACCCTTGTCTCTCAAAAAATTAAAAAAACAATAATTAACATTGAAAATATTGGCCAACCTGTGATGGCTGGTCATATATGTCCGCGATCATGATGTTCCAATCGGAACAGTTATATGATAAATCAGTCGCAAGAGAAATGCTAAAAAACACATTTTGATACTTCTTTTATTATCGAGTGTAGTTTATATAAATTTTATTCAATGATGTAAGTTTTATTTTCTATTTGGTGACTTTTATTTTATTATTCAGTAGAACTCATGAATTATATTTAATAATAAAAGGTGTATCTAAAAAAATAATATTGATATTCTTCGTATAAGTAATTTTATTCATTTATTTATTCGTACAATTTTATTTTTCTTTTGTCAACTATCCATACAAAACTGAGCAGTGAAGGAATCATTAAGATAAATAGTAGATAGGGCCTATGTAACATACGTTTATGCCCCTCTAATGAGCTATGATCGTTTTGGTTTGAACATTTCTTCCAACTTTCACTGGTCTGAGAAAAAGAAAAAACATTTCTTCTAACTTCCAATGGGCTGACCAAAACTAGTTCGATGACTCTGCATGAAGTGTTATTGAAATCAGAGCAATGTATCCAAGAGGGGTCTGGTGGCTCAAAGGCATACCTGGTTTCGTTCTCAACCCATGGGCTTATAGTTTGAAAGAATTCTGATCAGGTTTTGAATCAGGGCCGAAGTTAGCCCAAGTTAGTCAAGACAGTCCAATTCTCTAAGCTGGATTAGACCTCTACAATGTTTGTTTAGTTTTGCTGTAATTGCCCAAAAACATTCCACCTTTAGAGTTTCTTGTGGTCTGCATTGTTTTGGGGTGGGTGTATGCGGGAAGTCATACACCTACTCTACTTAATCATTTTTTAATGCATCAAATTTTATCAATTTAACCGCTAAATCATGATAATTATGTATATCAAATTTTAGATAAATTTAACATTCATAAACATATAAGTTTTTCATTAACATTAATTTATATTTCAAAAAATGCGTTGTGTATTAAAATAAAATTACTTGATGAAATATCAAATACTTATTAAAATTGTGAGGTAAAAGGAGGCAAAATACTCTGAAACTTCATTACCACTGAATGAGTTACTTTATATCAAAATGTTTTAAAACAATATTATTTTTCAAGAAGATTTTTTTAATGCAATATACCCTAAAATAACTTTTTTTACACCTTGATTGAACCAAACAATCTTGCTAGAAGGTGCCCCCGGCGCAACAAGAAGGGGGGGGGGGGGGGGGGAGGGCTGCTGAAGTTTTCTGCAGATAAACTGCATAAATGCCAAAACATATGGTTTTCAACTTAGCTGAACCAAAGTAAAAAAACCAACAAACTACCTGACATAGAACATTCTGCACTGCTTAAGCATGCCTCAAGCAGCTGAAGCAATCAGTCACCATTACACAGAACATTCTAGATAAAAGAAATAAATCTAATTTGTTATTTTCCACAAAACTCTAAAAGCACAAAATTTGGAGTATGAATCCTCTGTAGTTGGAGAGAGAAAAGAAGATAAACCTCTACCTTTCATTTTATTTTTAAAATTTAATAAAACTAATAAAAAAATATGGCAAAAAAGGATGAGTCATTGGATGATGAATGCAGGAATTGTGAGTGCAGAGGATCCAGGTCCCAATATTTGAGCAGTGCTCATAAAAAACCAAATAAGGAACTTGAAAAGACTCATGGTATGTCTGGATACAAATCCAAACCACTACATTGTCCTAATGATTGATCCAATGACACAAAACAAAAGTACTCCGTAGTTAGATAATTGTTCGTCCAAATTGCTTGTGTCCATCATACTGTGCGACCCCAAGATGCAAAAGAGCTTCGGTTCTATTAGGTTTGTGTAGTTGACTTAGATGTGGAAATGTTTCTTTTAAAACTAAATATCATAATGTTATTGTTAACTATATGGAGAGAAAGCGTGAAAAAAAAGGCTCTTGACAAAGGGAACCTCATAAGTTTTAACAGAAGTGCAGAACCAAAAAAGAAATTTAGGCTTTTCATCATAAGAACCACGAAAGCATCGTATTAAAAACATTTGAGTTGGAGAAAGTACAGAAAATTAACATAAAAAGGGAAGTGACTTAGGTAAATGTGTGAAATAAGACATGTCAAATTGTTAAAAGCCATCCCGTGTGATCCCCTATACCATTCAACTTGATACAACTGCAGACATCTATATTTCATTTTTAACTAAATAACTCCATTCTTCTATACGCTCATTTAGCAATGAATTCAAGTGAAGAACATAAAAAAAGAGAAATCGCCAGTTATCTTTCCCCAGCAGGTAATACTTGTAATATGATCTGGTTCGCTAGTAGAGTGTTTGAATTAGAGTCAAATTTACTAGAATGTGGATCCATTTTGCCGCTACAAATTATAACTTTTTCGTTATAACGTATTAACGTGGTTTAAGATGAGTTTGTGAATTTTTCCAAACACGGACTAGGTTCATTAATGGAAAGGCAACATACATACATTTGTATTGGCAAGCCAATCAATGAAACATAACACTAAAAGACCAAGAATCAGACAACACCGACGAAATCAGAAACAAATGAAAAGAGATCATAAGACCTGTCCCAAATTAGAAGCTGTGAACAAAACTATCGAGTGTGAATTCGCGCTAGTAAGTAGCAGCATTCGAATGAACACACCAGCAGTAAAACGAACTTTATTTCATTTTAATATGAAGAGCCGCAAGATCATTACCAAACATTACAAAAGAAAACCTTCACTACTTCCTTTATCGATCAGCAAATAAAGCAGCACCGATGCATTCATCGATCCAACACCAAGTTGAACTATATACATACATATACTTATACTCATATAAATATATATACCCGAATAACATTAGAGTGAATGAAACAAGCCTTGGAATTTCAAACCTAGCATCGAAGAGTTCAATAATCTACGCAGTAATCGCGGTAATCCTCTCGCCCAACATCGACGTCGTTCTCGACCCTCTCCGCGATTTTGTCCTCTTCATATTTAAGCCCCTCTTCCAGAGCAAGCCCGCCAAGAGCTCCAGCAACAGCACCAACAGCGAGGCCAGTACCCAGGCCGACTTTGGGAGCCTTGGGCTTGGGGTCGTAGGAGGAGGAATAGTCAAGCGGGGCGGATGGCCCAGTGGGCCCAGAATAAGAAACGGGGCGGTCAAAGAAAGGCCTTGGAGGAGGAGGAGGAGGCGGCGCACCGGAATAGTAAGCAGAATAGTAAGCAGAGTAAGAATCGGGGTAAGAAGTGTAAGGCGAGGGTGGAGGAGAAGGGGAAGGAGAGAAGCCTCTGTAGCATACGAATTGAGGATTAGGGTTAGGGTTAGTATTAGGGTTAGGGTTAGGGTTGAAGGAGACGTAATCGAAGGATTGGGGGCGAGGGAGGAGGCCGAGTTTGAGGTGGATCTTGCCCTGAGGTCGACCGGAGGGGCGAGAGAGGGTGAATTTGCGGAGGGAGGAGGAGTCGTGGAGGTCAGGGAGGTCTTTGAGGTGGAGACGGAGGGTGCCGACGAGGGGTTTGGGGGTGTCGGAGGGTTTGGAATGGAAGATTTCGAGGGTGAGGAAGGAGTCGTGGAGTGGGAGAGGGAGAGGGAGAGTGAAACGCTCGTTCCAGACGGGGGAGGTTGAGCCTGAGTCGTCGGATTTTGTGGCCAGCCGCCGATCGGGGTCTACCCAGAAAACGACGTAGGGTTTGAGATCGCCGTTTTTCCAGTTCACGTTTTTGAGGTGCTTCCCCGACACGATCGTCAGGTCCACATCCACTGACTTCGACGGAGGGGGACGCGATGACGCCATTTTTTTCCCCTTTCTTCTCTTCGTTTCTGTGTGCTCTTGCAACTTTCAGTGCTCTCAGAAAATCAGCAGATGACAATTTTATATTATCAGTGTTATTAACAACTTATTTAATTAAATGTTTTAATGTTTTATAATTATTTTTTGTTTATGGAAAGGGCTCTCAGTCTTAACAAAAACCAATATTTACATTACTTAAACGAGCAGTAACTACTCCTTATCCGAAGCATGATCATTGGTTAACCGTTTCTTTTTTTTTTTTAAACTTATGTTTGAGATATATAATTTTTTAAATTTTATTTATATAATTTTACTTTTTGAGATTATTCAACTTACCAAAATGGTAGCGATTCAAATTTGTCATCTCTACAAAATTCTACTTCACTTAATTAACTCTTTAGAGTTAAGATTTATTAATTTATTTAAAATAATTTGTTTACTTATTTAAAATGTATTGTAATAAAATAAATTCATTAGTTGTATTATGTATACAAATTAAATTATATTCTTAAGAAGTTTATTTCACTGTATTTTATTCAATGTTTGCGAGATATGTAGTATGATGTGTCTATATCTACTTTGTTAACATGAAAATTTACGAATAAAATGTAACTATTTTGTAGTACATCGTTGTAAAAACTTGTACATTCTTGAGTCTATCATCCACAAATCACGAATTATGCACTTATTTACTTATAATTAATAATATATATATATATATATATATATATATACATATACACATATTCAAAGTATTGTTTTTATTAAAAATAAAAAAAATATAAAAATATTTTAACTCATTATATATTTTTTTAAAAATTAACAATACATATAAAAAAATAATTAATTTAATTTATATATACAATTGAGCTTTTAAAAATCTTGCCACAAGTCATTTTAAAAAATATGTGGATATACTATATTTGTTATTGATTATTAATCAATTCAATTAAAACTATAAAATAAAAATAAATAAAATTCCACTAAATTAGATGCAATTCACACAATATCATCTTGATTATGAATTTTTTATTAACAATTCACTAGTTTTTATATTTTTATAACATTCAAATTATTATAATTTTTATTAATAATTTACTCATTTTTATATTTTCATAAACATTCAAATTATTACAGTAAAGTAGATATTTCAACAAAATCAATTTTATTTAACAATTTAAAAGACATGTTATAACAGATTAATTAGAAGCACATAACTAAAATTTTACATTAATTTATTTGAAAAATTAAATTATTCTAAATATTTAGAATTATAAAACAACTCCTAAAAACATGCATAATAAATTCGGTATCTTTAAATAGATATATAAGGTTGCAAATCCTCTATTCTTTTTCTCTTCGTTATTAACAACCTTCAAGAAGTTACTTTACGAAGAAAAATTATAAATTATTAGAATTAAGAATTAATACAAAGGCATATTAAAAAAAAAAAAAAATTACAAAATGGAACGCAGCTTGTTATATTAGGACCAGTTGAAAACTAAAAGAAAATAACATTATTAATCAGTAATCTAGTATGCGTAAATAGTGTGTTTAGTGCAAACCCAATTATTACTTGACACATAGTAAAAAATATAATATTTTTTTTAGATTTATAAATTAAAAAATTAGATAGATTAGCCAAACATTTAATACTAAGAATTTAACGGCGAATACAAAAATTAACTTTAAGATCGTCTCTAATAATCCAAAAAGACCCCTTTATAATCGCAGCTTAATTGTTATAAATACTTTTTCAAATATTAGAAACAAATTTAGATTTATTTAAAATAAGGTTGCCATAGGAATCGAATTTATATTTAGTTGTTAGGATTCTCTAACCTAATTTAGTTATATAAACCAAGTTAACTATGTATCTTCTTTAAAACTTCTGCTTGTTTTAGCTTTTGGATGACAAATAATTTCCATAAAATCAAATGCCAGTGTTTGTTGGATTGAATCAGATTTATTTCGAATCACTTTTTAATTAGACTGAATGGAATTGATTTTGAAACAAAATATAAATCGATTGAAACCGAATCATAATATATTTTTATGATAAGATTATATCACCTTTTGCATAAAAATAATTTTAATCTAATACACGCACACCCATAAATGTCTTTATCATTTTAAAGCATAGTATATATAACAAATATTAAAAAAACATTATAAATATTGGAACTTGTTATTACGAACGAGAAATTACGAATTTTAAGTTCCTCCACGTTTACAGGATTTGCATTCTGATATTAAAACATTTTCAATTCAGAAATTTAGGTATTTATTTAGATTCAAAATCTATCGACAGTGATTTTTGACCAAAAGTTATCACTAGTAATTTTTTTAAAAAGGTCATATTTTTGTAATTTTTCCAAAAAAATATAATTCTGAAAATTTTTAAAAACCCATAAGAAAAGCCTTTTAAAATTCAAAATTTAGCTTTTCTCTTGCTGTGTATTGAAATCGTTTAATATATATATAAAACTTGGCTACAAACAAACATTTATCTAGATCGAATTGCATTTCCCAATAACTTTGCAAACTGACGAAGAAAGAGAAGAATTTCGCCAATTTTTTTTTTTCACTTTTTATATTAAATATTTAATTTTAATTGAATCTTATTTAATATATTATGAAATTATTAACATTAATACAAATAATTTGTAATTTATCAAATATAAAATTAAGTATAATAAATTTTTATTTAAAAATATTATTTTAATTCAATACTACTCATATAATATATAAAAGTTGATATTATTTTTAAAATATATAAAATAATTTTAATATCATAAATTTTAATATATTTTTGATAAAAATTATTATTTATCATTTTTTATCACTTATAAACAAAAGCACCAAAATATAAAAAACGAAGAAACACTGTCTGAGTACAAAATACACCTCGCAAGATAGAGGAAGAAATATTACTAATAACAGGTTAAAGCCTTGGATTTATAATTTATTTATTTAAATTATTAAAAATTAATAATATATTTTAAATTTAATATTTTATATTTTGAATTCTGTATATATCTTTCAACTATATTAATATCTCACGATTCACGAGGCAAAAGTCTTAAAAAATTTGCCTGATCTTAATAAAGGGTAGAATGGTCCATGCACATCACATCATTTCCTTTTCCCAAACGCAACAACCGAAGTAAAGCTTGGTCGTGTCGTGGGGTATTCATTCATTTTCGTTGAATAATAATAATCGAAAACAATACATTCCATGTGTTAACTGAGGAATCGCCATTACCGTAGCAAAGAAAGACTAGTGCACTGCATTCCTTCGTTTACCATGCTTTCCTGAGAAAACAAAAAGTCCAATTGCAAAATATTTTCGGTCCTCCAGGGAAATAAAAATTAAGAAAAAGACATGTCGGAGGCGTTGATCAATGGATTGGCTGGAGCTGGAGGAGGGATCATTGCTCAGCTCATCACATACCCACTTCAAACTGTACGATTATTGTTTCAAAAATTGGTCCTTTAGAAATTTTCAACTGAGTTTTTCGTTTGAAATGTCGAATGTTTAATTTTTCTGAGTTGATCTGCAGGTAAACACTCGTCAACAAACCGAGCGTGATCCGAACAAAGACAAGAGGAGTCAGGGAACCCTCGAACGAATGTGTCAGGTTTCTGTTTTATAGAGATGTGATTGTTAAGCTGAATTTAACTGTATTGATCGTTTGTTTGTTTTGGCTGTGGAAAGAAACAAAGTGGTTGGTGATTGTGTTTATCGGAAAAATGTGTAGGTTGTAAAAGACGAGGGTTGGGAACGGTTGTATGGAGGCTTGATGCCATCGCTAGTAGGCACAGCTGCGTCTCAGGTGGGCTCATTTTAGCTCTTGTTTGGTGATATTGCTTTTTCTTTTTTGGGTAGCTGAAACCCCTTGTTGACTTGATTATTAACATCGAGTCTAATTTGAGTAATTTCTTTATTTCTTTGTGCATGTGTTTCATTTGATTGTTGACTTAGTGGGAAAACTGAAGTTTGGGAATGCTTGTAGGAGGATGTCATTGTCAGCACTTATGTTTTTAACCCCAGCTGAGAGCATGATTAATAACAAACAATAAAAATTGAAAGCGGTTGAATTGGTTTCCTTATTAACAGTTTTTCCAGATGAAATGTAATAGAAGTTTGACTTGACGAATGGTGTTTGAAACTTCAATGTAATGAGATTCAGAGGATTAATACTTATGTAGTTGCTATTCTCCAGATTTGCTCCCTATGTTATTGTCAAAGACTCAAAGTTTGATTCTTTTGGGGTCTAATATAACTATTGACATAATAGACTTCATTATTTGATGTTTGTGGTCTGTATTACTTCTTGTTATCTTCGAAAAATGGATGGAAAGTTTCCAACTAGCCTTGGTTCCTTGTATGAAATACTCTTTAATAACCTTTTCAGTGTTCTGATTTAGGTTTCAACATTTTAATATCTCACAATTTTATGGCACAGGGTGTTTACTATTATTTCTATCAAATATTCAGGAACAAAGCTGAAGCAGCTGCACTACAACAGAAGAAAATGGGCATTGGCGATGGATCGGTTGGAATGCTCTCCTCACTTCTTGTTGCTGCTTTATCTGGGTAGTTTACTTTGTCTGCAGTGTACACAGCCCATGTGGCTCTGGTTTGTTATTACCCTGGCAAATTTAAGTTTTTGAATAGAAGTTTTCCTTTCATCTATGACAGTTATTTTGCTATATTTACATCTTACCTGCATTTGTAAAGGTTCTATTTCTCTATTTCTCAAATTTGGATTTGTAAAAGTGCTGTTGAATTGTTAACTGCCAATCATGTTGCATAGAAACTACTGATTGTGTTATGTCTCACTGTCTCTGTACTCATGTAAAGTGGTATGATTCAAATTTATTTGATAAATCCTTTTTGTAGGTGTGTTAATGTGCTCTTGACAAATCCAATATGGGTAGTTGTTACTCGTATGCAGGTAAATAGCTAGTTTAGATTCATCTCTTTTTCTCTTTCTTTATTTCTGCTTTTCTGTTCTTTCCTCTCCATGCTCACCGTAATCTTTCTTTGTCTTGATTCTTGATATACATTAACCGATTTGGGGGACAAGACAGGAAACAAGAGTTGATAAGAGTAAAATAAGTTCTTATCCTACATTTAATGCACACCAGGATAATAAACAAGATAGCATTATGTTATTCTATCTTGCTTATTTCTAATCCAAGTTTCCTCACTAGATAAAATTTACACAATAGAGAGATGGATAAGATAACTTTGTAGGATACTTATCATATTATGTTAGTTAACAAATATAAAAAATGAGATATGATAGAAAAAGTTATCCTATCATGTTCTTATCCTGTCTACCAAATGGAAACACAATAGCAAGATAAATTAATACAAACTAACTTCTTGAGAAACTTCCTTTTTCCTGATTTGATTTTGGAGTGGTTATGTAGAAAGAAGGATTTTTATTTTCTTTCCTAGAAGGCATAAGCTAAAACATTTCAAAAGTATTTCAACTTTGTAAGCAGATAAACTTAGCAAGGAAGTGATCATGCCTTTGAATGTTTGTTTGGACTTCAAAAAGTTTAGAGCTTTCATGGATTTGGCAACTAGTTTGGGACCTGCGTATTAGACACGCTTGCAGATTTTATTGGTTTAAGTTGTTTTGCTATAGGATATATGATACATGGTCTGTCTTTGATTTTGGTTTGCTATTTGTGTTTCTCAAAGTTATAAAAATTATGTTCTTTTATAATTTAGAATAATAAATCATAAACAATGTCAGTTTGTCTATTCGCTTGCTTTCTCCCTCCCTGACTCAGCTAGTAAAGTCTTAGATTCTGATTGAGGCTATTTTGTGTCAAAAACTATTTTTACTGTGCAGACACATAGAAAAGACTTAAATGGAACTCCATCCAGTCAGGGATTGTTAGTTGTCCCTGAGCAACCAATTATTTCTGCAGTTGAGCCTCTTCCTTATGGTACTAGCCATGTGGTAAGTAAAGTCTATTTTGGAACCATAACTGAATTGGAGAAGTTATGCTATACTAGCTATCCTAATATGAAGAAAATATTTAGAAAACTGATCTTATCATCTTGATTAGTATATTGGGTTCTTTATATTTCAGATGGAATATATTAACTGAAAATGTTCCAACAATTTGATTGTTTATTCATGATTATGATATGCAGAATTTTTCTTGTCCTACTGGGGCTTTATAGTTTTCAAACTCTCGAGTTTCCTGTTGTATGTGTTATATTTGATTACATATTTGCAGATTCAGGAAATCTACGATGAAGCTGGAATATGGGGTTTCTGGAAAGGTGTATTACCAACATTGATCATGGTATGTTAGACGTGAATCTCTTCCATGATGAGGGATTATTACTGATTGGTTGTTCCTTAACTTAGGTAAGCAATCCTTCCATACAATTCATGCTGTATGAAGCCATGTTGGCAAAATTAAGAAAAAGACGTGATTCGAGTAAGAAGGGTAGCAATGGGGTAACTGCTTTAGAGGTATTATATCATTTTGCTAATCTAGATGAATTGCTTTTGAGAGATGTCCTATTCGCTCTTATATTTTATCGTTTGTTGCCTTTAATAATTGTTTACGTTGTTTTGATACTAATATTCTCATATGATACTAGATATTTCTTCTTGGAGCTTTAGCTAAGCTTGGAGCTACTGTTGTAACCTATCCACTCCTCGTTGTAAAGGTATACAATATTAGCTTTCTCCTCTCCTGGTTGTGAACGTATATCAAATTACCTTTCATGGGAACTGGTCTTATTGTAATAAAAATAATAATGAAAATTTAGAAATTAGAACTGTATTTCTTAAACTGAAGAGCTGGAGAATAATGGTACCATGAAAAGTGGACATTTCTTTTTAAGATGATGTCTGTCAAACAAAAACACCAGAATGTGTTGTTTACACAACATGTGAGAGATGAAGAAAAATTCTGAGCTGGGCACTGCCTTTTATTATTATACTATTCTAGAAATAAAAGGAAGTATTGACAAATTTGAATTAAAAAGAAGTTATAGCATCACAAAATGCTGTAATATAGATGTGTCACATTGATGTCCGTTATTCATGAGATGAAACGGGTGGGAGGAATGAAAAAAGGACGTTTATTGAAAATGCTTTTCTTAATTTTATGTTGCTTGCACAGGCAAGGCTCCAAGCTAGGCAAGATAAAAGTGGAGACAGGAGGCACCATTATAAAGGTTTATGTTATGATGTTTTTTTGTTATACCTTGTTTATCAATAGAGCTTATGCGCATAATACTGCTGAAGTTTACACATTATTGTAGCCCTTGTTCACCATGGTGATAAATGCTTCTGTTGCTCTCTGTCTCTCATGTGTGCACACAGCCATTCTGAAACCAGTTAATTGAAAACTAAGTTCAAAGCTCCAGAAATTTTAGTATCAATATTCTTAGTTTCCTCTCTAAATGTTGCATGATTTTCTTTAAATTCAGGTACGTGGGATGCTATTATTAAGATGATCCGCTATGAAGGATTTTATGGATTTTACAAAGGTATGGGCACAAAAATTGTACAAAGTGTGCTGGCTGCAGCTGTTTTATTCATGATGAAGGAAGAACTAGTGAAGGGGGTTCATTTCTTGCTTGCCAAGGATGCCACCAAAGCTGCAAAGCCTAAGCATCCATGATTGGAGATCACTAACTTGAGTTTTCTATTAATATTTCATGAACCATCTTCAGTTGGAAAACTGTTTCAAATGTTAGGGGAACTATATTGACACACACAAGATATTAAAACATGCTGTAACTTGATTATTTCATCAGGCTAGTTTCCGTGGAAGAAATACATTACCAAAAATTACATGCTGGATTCATGGTTTGTTTCATGAACAAAAACACCACTGAAACAAATATTTTTTTATGAATGAGCCATTTGATTTCATTGGCAGCTGAGGTCATCGATTTAATTTACTAGGAATATAATCTGAACCGAATATTACTATTATTTTCCATTATTAGACACAAGTTATTGGCAATGTTGACAGAGGCAGTGTAATCATACCACATCAGTTATTACCAATTCCTTTCAACTAGTAGCCTATGCGCAAAATTTTCCAACACCTGCTTTAGAATCACAGATTTTATAAGTGTAATATCCAGACAAGCTTTAGAATGAAATATTTTAATATTTTGTGGGGAAAACTGTTTTACTTTTGGTCCTTTAAATTATGATGGGACAGACTTGGCATTTTTATATTTTTATTCACTATATTAATTACTTATATTTAATTATTTAAAACATCTTTTATCAACTTATGTTTAATGGCTTTAATTTATTATTATTTTTTTATTTTTATAAATAAAATTCTTAATCATATTTCATTGCGATATGAAAAAACTAGAGAGAAAATGTTTTCTTTTGTTTTTTTTTTCAAATTTTATTTATTTAAACAAAATATGTCCTTTTTAGTATTTTTTTTTTTTACCATTTCATCGTCAAAGTTATGTTCAATGTGAAAGCATTTTCCCCCGAAGTTTAAATATGTAATAAACGCCCTACGTAGAATGTTTATTTATTAGAAATATTATCAATCAAATTATGCAACCACAATTATAAATTATGTAAAAATATTATATTATTATCTTTTATTCTTTCTTACCATATGATATTGAAATTCTAATAAAATTTATTTATCTTAATTTTTTGATTATTTGTGTCCGTAAAATTGTAAGAATTGTTAAGGATGTATACATGCTGTGTTGATATCTGTTAAGATAAAATAATTTTATTTTTTTGTGAAAGAAAAGAAGCTTAAATAAGGAGAAGTAAATAGAACGCTGTCATTAATCTACAATTAATTATCTATTGGGATTTTAACAAAGGAGAACATTATTTGAATAACTTTTTTGAGATACCAGACGGTGTTTTTATTTTTTATTCTTTTCTTTATTTGAAAAATGAAATTGGATAAATGGCCGAGCTCTTTGATAAATGACAGAAAGTGTTGCATGTTTACACGTAAAGGAGTAACTGTTAGTTGAGTGTAATGAAAGCCTGTAAAGTTACTGTTATTTTATATGAACTAGTTACCTTTCTTTTTTTATATATGGAGAATAGATGCTCTCAATGATTAATTAAACTCGTGTTTCACTTTCATCTTATCATTTTGAATTCAGTTTCCAATGCATATATATCGAATAGAACCTTGTAAGAATTTTATATATATGTTTATATGTTTGAACATTGATGAACGTTCAGAATTGTCCTCCAGGTTGCGATCACAGTGTTTACTCCACTTTGCGTGTACTGAAGGAGTATCACTTTATGCCTAAGAACTCCCCCGATCACAAAGCAAAGCATCTCTACGTTACTTCATCCACGAAGACACTAATTCTCTCAATTCACCATCAACCACTCACTAGTCACTATTTTTTTATCAACAACTAAGAAACAAAACATGGCTGTTGTTGTGCCTTCAATACTCAATTCAACTTCGGTGCTTCTTGCATTAACTATTATCATCCAAGGTAAGCCTAGCTGATTTTGATTAATTTTCCATTCTAAAGCACCCTCTGTTAAGTGGATTCATGTTTAAATATCATGAATTCACATTTACTTCAATATTATTAGTTGTAACGTTCGTGTTAGGATTGCATGTGCTATAACGTGTTTCTATTATCATTCATATTTTACAGGAGTGGAAGGAATTGGTGTTAATTACGGCACGGTGGCAAACAACCTTCCTCCACCGGCTCAGGTGGCAAAATTTTTATTACATTCGACTATAATTAATAGGGTGAGACTCTTTGATGCCAACCCTGAAATTTTACATGCCTTTGCTGACACTGGGATAGAGGTAACCATAACCGTCGCTAATGATCAAATTCCCCACATAACTAATTTAACTTTTGCTCAACAATGGGTCAAAACCAATGTCCAACCTTTTATTCCTGCCACCAACTTGATCAGAATTCTAGTAGGCAACGAAGTGTTATCCACAGCTAACAAACTGCTAATCAGCAACCTCGTACCTGCCATGCAAACCCTTCATGCAGCCCTTGCGGCAGAATCATTAGACAACAGAATCAAAGTGTCCACACCACACTCTCTGGGCATTTTGTCTAACTCAAGCCCTCCATCTAGTGGCAAGTTTAGGCAAGGCTATGACACCCATGTGATCAAACCAATGCTTAGCTTTCTCAAAGATGCAAATGCACCCTTCATGGTTAATCCATACCCTTTTTTTGGATGCTCTGAAAACACCCTTGATTATGCACTTTTCCGTGCCAATGCTGGTGTCTTTGATGATAACACTAAGCTTCAATACACTAGTATGTTAGATGCACAACTTGATGCTGTCTATTCGGCAATGAAGGTTTTGGGCTTCGAAGACGTTGAGATTGTTATTGCCGAAACGGGCTGGCCTTCGGTGGGTGATCCGGCCCAAATTGGTGTGGACCCAAAGAGTGCTTCTGAATATAATGGAAATCTCATACGCCATGTCACTTCTGGGGTTGGAACACCTCTCATGCCTAACAGAACTTTTGATACGTATATTTTTGCTTTGTTTGATGAAAATTTAAAGCCCGGCCCAACGTGTGAGAGAAACTTTGGACTCTTCTGGCCTAATATGACTCCTGTTTACAACGTCCCAATAATGAGGAACTCTGTACCTTTCGTTGCTAACAATCATTCTAAAGCATTTTTGTCACTCATGCTTGTGTTAATCTTGATTTGTGCATGGGTTTAAATTTTGTGGGCTTATTCTTCATTTTCAATGGGCCAACAACGAGGCCCATCATTGAGCCAGCAAATCTAATCATCAACCCAAAAGTTGTCTTTTGTGATGGGCTTACCGAAAAGCATTACTAAAGACAGACTCTATTGTCTCATTTTTGAATGGGCTTGAATTCTTGGCCCATTAGATCCAAGAGGCAGAGAGCACTATGTAGTTCCATGCTGAATACGCCTTCAATGCTTACACTACACAACCGAAAGGAAGGGTGTGTTTGTAATTTTGGACTAACTAGAGTTATTTCCATTATCATTGTCTTTTCATATGTAACATTATTTTTTAGATGATTTTTCAAAGATCTTCATTTGTTATTTATTTTAGGACCACCAATCCCCACATCCCCAATCGAGAATGTTTTTTATTCAAATTGGGTAGGATTGAACCATAAAACTCTAAATATTTAATATAATTGTATTAGTTGGAACACAAATTTAAAAGTATCGGTTAAACTAGAATAATTTTCGACCAATTATATTTGAATTAATTATTAAATATTGCCTAAAAGGTGTTATCAGAAAATATAACATTTTGGTAACGTGTTAGTGAACAGTGGAAAAAAACAAAATATTGTTCTAGAATTTGGACAAGTAACCCTAACAACAAATGTTTTATAGTGTCTTCATCTGATTAAAAAAAACAAAATAGTGTACTAGAATTTGGACAAGTAACCCTTACAGCGATGTCTTAATCTAGTTAAAAGGTAAAGGTAATTGTAATATGATACTAATATCGTAAGAACATGTAAAAAATGGTAGCTTTAGGGTCCTATGTGGAGGACCACTTAGTCCCTAGTGAGGTCCTTGACTCCTTGTCCCCCACTTACTAGGGATTTTATAGTTGATGGTGAAGCATGTTCCTATGGATTCAAAATCTACTACCATCAAATTAATTTAATCTCAGCCGTAGATCATTCTCATCTCACTGTAAAGCCATGCCTTGTCTTATTATTATTATTTCTAAAAACCAAAATAATATAATTCAGATATTATAAAGAAAATGACTTGACCAATACTGCTTTTCCCTTTTTACAAAATTTTCAAAATAAGAATGATTAAGAAAAAATCAAACACCAATTCAACTTTGTGTCTTTTCCTTAAGAAGATGAAGCTACTTTCATTACAACCAACTGTTAGCTTATTTTCGTAGTAGCCGTGAATTTTAATTTTAATATCAAATCTATTTCATTAACTTTGATCTTTCCACATTTTTCATTTACATTTAGGTGTTATATATATAATTTATTGAATTAATATGTATATTTAAATTAATTTAAACTTCATATTACATTAAAACATGTATTTTTCATTAAAAAAAGTTAATTTAATGACTTGGAATGAGATAGTTGTACGCTGTTGAATGTGAAAGGAACTGTTTTCCCTTGGTCCTTACTCCTTATGAATATGAAGTGGCTGACAGATTTTAATAAATTGTTTTTTACCTAAACACTTTCTTTGTATTCTTTCTGTTTTCATTTTTCTTTTTATTTTACCAAACCAAGTATTTAGTCCTTTTATCTTGTTTGTTTTTGAATTTGCTTCCTCGTACGAACTGTGTACACGAACCACACACGAATTATCTAGCCATAATTTCTGTCCTTTTCTTTTTTTCTAATTTTCGGTGCAGGTTTTGTTGTACTAATTTGTGTATTGTGATAAACTGAATATATTATGATATTATATTAAAATTCTAGATTTAATTTATTCTTACATTATAAAAAAATTGAGTAACTCTTATATATAAAGCATTTTAACTCTAATTTTAAGAATTCTATTTTTGGGAGGTGATCGGGCAGAAAGGAAATTTGTACGGTGAAGAGAAGGTCTTAATTAGAAGCTCTACTTGCAAAGAGATGCCAACCAACAAGGAAAAGAGCAAGAGCTACAAGACACATAAAAATCAAATTAATGAGGTGGAACTTTTCTTATGATCTGTCAAGCAGCAACTTGCACCCATTTAAATTATCAACATTTAGATTTATGGTAGTGATTATGATTTATATATAATCCCATTAATTTAGTCTCCTAAGGATCTTATTGACAAACCACTGGGCTTGGGTTCTCTGGTGGACCCTGTGATGCAACTAAAGATTATATTTTAATTTAGAGTCTAAAAAAACATTATTTATATAAAGTAGATTTCAATTGTCAAAAGATGACTTAGAAATGCCTCTTGGACAAGAAATATATTCTCCATTATTGATTTGCATAATTCTAATTTAATTATGATAAAGTGTGATGGACTAGTGCTGATGGATACTTTGGGAGCCAAATTCAGTGGTTACAGCCCCCAAATCAATGTTTTAATTAATAAAATATTGTCCAATTAGGTGCGTCGGGTTAGTTGCAAGATTGCCGATAACAGTTGCAAGCGCTTATTCTCACTTGGCCGTGTGGGTATATTTGTTCTATGTTCTTTAAGTTGAAGAAAACTTGGCGTGTTTTTCAAAAAACACAGTATCTTCTACACCCTTGTTTTATAATTCAGCAAGCACACATCCATCAAAGTTTATAATTTCTAATCACATATTCCAAGTTAGGGTAATGACTAATGACAACATGGTCAATGTTTGTTTCTACTTTTTAAAAATATTTTTTTACGATTATTTGTTTTAAAAAACTAATATTTTAATATACCTTTTATTTTAATCTTTCATTTATTTTTTTTATGTAAATCATCTATTTCATGTTGATTTTCTAGTTTTTAAATATGAATCAAATAGCATTTTTCTATAAATTATGTTTAACTTTATCATTTAAATAAAAAAATAATAATAAATATAATAAAAATTAATAAAAAAATAAATTATTTGATCTATATTTAAAAAAAAATAATAAAAGAGTTAAAAGACTAAATAAATAAAAAACTTGAGAGTCGTAGTCAAATCAAATTAGTCTATTGTTTAATTCTCAATATGCTGGTTTAAAATTTAAATTTAAATAATAGTGGAATTATTAATAATAATGTTTGTATTAGTTATCTTCAACTAATATATATATAGTTTTTTTTAAGTAATTATTAATAATAAATTTTTATTAAAAAATTATTTATTGTATTCTTATAATTTTAATATAATAATTATGTATTTTTTTATAAAATTTTTTATTTGTGAATATTTAAACTTCACTTGAAGGGTTAAAGTTAACAAAATTCATATATATCTTCGATTATTTTGTTATCCCTTATTTGAAATAAGCATTTTGAATTCGTATAGTGAAATAGATGGTTTGATCTATATCAGCATTTTCCAACTATATGCTTACAGAGGTTGGAGCAGTAATTAGTGAAGTGAGAGAAAGTAGACATCTTCTCAATGAAATTAAGAATATTATTGTTCATTCTAGTTAACATATAAGAAATGACATAAAAAGATAAAAAAAAAACAGGAAACTAAAAATCAATAAAGCTACACCATCAATTAAAGCACAGCATTAGGATGATATTTTTCTTTTTTCCCTATACAAATACGATGTTATTCCTTATTCTTTTCAAAATGACAGGTTGATGGAAAATTCAAACACAATGCACATATAGGCAAAAAAAGTGAGTTAATTTATTTGCAGGATTATGCGAATTAAGTATATACAAACTAGTGTGGAATGTCCACCTACCCAACTCAAAATTGTGCTGTGTTTACCCACCACAATTGCAAATAGGGAGCATAATTATTCAACTTAAGTGTTTGGCTAGTAAAGATATTCTTTGGCAAAGACTAAACCAAGCACCAACTTCTCACTTATCTTTCATCCAACACCTAGCAATCATTGGACCCATCACTAGTCCACGCGAGCTGAAATGAGAAAAATGGAAAAGGTTTGTATTGGAGCTTGTGTCAATGAAGATAAGAGGGTTTGCAACAAGAAAATGACATTAGAAGATGAGGGAATTTGTAATTAATAAGATCTTCATCAAAGATTGTAGAAGTAATTGAAAGCTGGTTAATATTTTGTTTACATGTTATTTGTACTAGATGAGATGTACAAGTTGTGAAGATGAGGGTAGATATTTTAATAGAAAACTAAGAAAGGAGGAAACCCGGGTGGGAAGGAAACAGTGGGAGATCCTAAGATGAATCTGAAAACGTTGTTGTATAACGAACAGAAAAAAGGGTGTCTTGAAACGGTGACGTGTTACATCACATCACGCAAATAGTTACACTCGGGCAAAAGTTTTGTCGTTTAAGCGATTCGTGCCACACAGTGGGTCCCACCATTTTCATTTTCCCATCATCTCCTCTCTCCATTTCCCTTTCGCCACTTAACCACACCATTTTTAGGGTCCGATCCAATCCCCTCTCACCAAACTGTTCTCGCAGCATCACCGTCCGATCCATTTCGCTCTCTCAATCTCAACCGTCCACAGCATGCCCCATTCATTCATCTACCCTTTCCTCACCGCACCCTAGTTACTAATTACTCCAACCAAGTTCAGATCTTTTTCTGATTTTCACTCACACCCATGATGGAAGATCGCAACCTCAGAAGAACCCGTGTTCTCGACGTTGTTCTCGACTGTGTTATACCTTACATACACGACCCAAAGGACCGTGACGCCGTTTCTCAGGTTTGTCGAAGGTGGCACGAGCTTGACTCGTTGACAAGAAAGCATGTCACTATTGCTCTCTGCTACACCACCACGCCGGCGCGTCTACGTCACCGCTTCCCTCACTTGGAGTCTTTGAAGCTTAAGGGCAAACCCCGAGCTGCAATGTTCAACTTGATACCTGAGGATTGGGGTGGTCACGTCACCCCTTGGGTTAAAGAGATTTCGCAGTATTTTGATTGTCTTAAAAGTCTTCATTTTCGCCGTATGATTGTCAAAGATTCTGATCTTGAGCTTCTTGCTTCTTCCCGTGGTCACGTGCTTCAAGGTCTTAAGCTTGATAAGTGCTCTGGTTTTTCCACTGATGGACTTTATTATATTGGTCGCTCTTGCAGGTAAGTTGGAGTTGGAATAGTGTTAGTATTCTCTTGTTTAATTATTACTATGATTGTATTTTCAAATGTCTAAAATAGTTTATGGTTAAAAAGTTTTTTTTTTTTCGAAATTAAACACCCCTTTAGTTGAATTTGGTGAATAATTATTGATTGGCATGCTCCTTGGTGAGCCTTTTAAGGGAATTTGGTACACCTTTGTTGCGCTGGTAAATGATTGTACGTGACTGATATTGATGAAGTGGGTTTAGAGTTTTGGTTTATGAGTTGGATTCTCTAATCTAAGATTTGTAGTTGGATATGGAGTGCGTGTCTCCAACCCTTTGTTATGTTGTGTTTTTAGTAGTGAAGTGCAAGTTTTGTTTGATAGTCATAGTTGTTTAGTTGCTATTTCCTGAATTCTCAATGGATAATTTGCAACGCCAGGTTTTCTCATTTGTTAATCCTCCGTGTTTGTAGCTGCGTTGCAGTTGCAATTGTATCATAGGAACTAGGCTTTTGTTTTATGCCGTTCCGCAATAAAAGTGTGTTGTGCCTGCCCTCTCTTCCACGTTATCTGTTCTTGTTCAGGAATTGTGGTATTGTTTATGGGTGCATCCTGTGGCAGATGTAGCTATTCTAATTTCACTTTTGACGCAATGTCAAGCAAATATTTTCTAATTCTATTACTCTTTTCCAAAAAAATTGAATGATTTGAACCTGATACTGAATTGGCTTGTTTCATGCTTCTGGAATTTCAAATCTTCAAATTGATAGAAGTAAGTATAAGGAAGATGAAGTTCCAATATTTGTTGACTAGAACTGTGTTGATAAGTTTCTTGTAACTTCTAGGATGAACTATTTTAACAGCTTGTGCACTACATGGTTGAGAGAAACACAATCATAGAAGTGACTTGCTCTTTCTTCTTCTCTAAATATAACCATTCTTATATTTTATGCTTCTTTAGAGGGAAAAAGACTCCTAATAACTTTATCCTTTCATTGTATTATTTTCTGTGTTTTTTTAAAAGCTCGCATGATAATTGACACCTTTATTTGCAGGGAAAAAATTTGGGACATGTTATAATTTTCAATTACATTGATCTGAGCTGTTGCTTCTTGGAAGTTAGAACTTATACCTGACTGTTAATTTTTCTTTTTGGCAGGAATTTAAAGGTCTTGCTTTTGGAGGAAAGCACGATTCTTGAGAACGATGGTGAATGGCTACATGAGCTTGCTTTGAATAATACAGCTCTAGAGACCTTGAATTTTTACTTGACAGATATTGCCGATATCAAAATTCAGGACCTTGAACTTTTAGCCAGAAATTGCCCCAACTTAGTGTCTGTGAAACTTACTGATTGTGAAATATTAGATCTCGTGAACTTCTTCCGGTATGCCTCTTCTCTGGAAGAGTTTTGTGGAGGCACTTACAATGAGGAACCAGAAAGATACTCTGCTGTATCATTACCAGCAAGGCTATGTCAACTGGGCTTAACGTATATTGGAAAGAACGAGTTGCCAATAGTGTTTATGTTTGCGGCTGGACTAAAAAAGTTGGATCTCCTCTATGCCATGCTGGATACAGAGGATCATTGTATGTTAATCCAAAGGTGCCCAAATCTTGAAGTCCTTGAGGTAAGTTCCAGAACCTCTCTATTGCATATATGCATTCAATTATGCTTTACACAAACACATATATGTATGTATAAGGATTTGATAATATACTTCCATTTGTTTTCTAGAAAGAGTATGTTACCTATATTATATTATATATATAAACAAATTGAAACATGAAAACTATAAGACTACAGAATAAAATCAATTGAAATGGAAATTGATATTTTGAATGACCTCTTCCCTCATGGACAGTCAAGGAATGTAATTGGAGATAGGGGGTTGGAAGTTCTTGGCCGCTGTTGTAGGAGGCTGAAAAGGCTTAGGATTGAACGAGGTGATGATGATCAAGGAATGGAGGATGAAGAAGGTACTGTTTCCCATAGAGGACTAATTGCTTTGTCACAGGGCTGTCCAGAGCTTGAATACTTGGCTGTTTATGTGTCCGATATCACAAATGCATCTTTGGAGCACATTGGAACTCACTTGAAAAACCTCTGTGATTTTCGCCTTGTCTTGCTTGATCATGAAGAGAAAATAACTGATTTGCCACTTGACAATGGAGTCCGAGCTCTGCTGAGGGGCTGTGACAAGCTTAGAAGATTTGCTCTATATCTCAGGCGTGGAGGCTTAACTGATGTTGGTCTTGGTTACATTGGACAGTACAGTCCAAATGTGAGGTGGATGCTGCTTGGTTATGTGGGGGAATCTGATGCAGGGCTTTTGGAGTTCTCAAAGGGTTGTCCTAGTCTTCAAAAACTTGAGATGAGAGGGTGTTCTTTTTTCAGTGAGCATGCATTAGCTATTGCTGCAACACAGTTAACTTCTCTTAGGTACTTGTGGGTGCAAGGGTATGGTGCATCTCCTTCTGGACGTGATCTTTTGGCAATGGCTCGCCCCTTTTGGAACATTGAGTTGATTCCTTCCAGGAAAGTGGCCAACAATCATGATGATCAACCAATAGAGCATCCAGCTCATATTCTTGCATACTACTCTCTTGCAGGCCAAAGATCTGATTTTCCAGATACTGTTGTGCCTTTGAATCCTGCCATGTGTCTCGACGTCTAGACTTGTGTATATACCAATTTGTTTTTGTTTTTGTTTTTTCATTTTCTACCCCCCCCCCCTCCTTTTTCTAATCTTGTTTCTAAGTTCCTGCTGAATATGTAGTTCAGGGTCTTCATTTTTCTCTGTTAATTCCCTAGACATATATAGTCTTGTAATAAGCTTGTGGTTTCATTTGTAATTCAGAAACGCTTCCACTAACTCACGCATTTTGTTCCCTTAAAAACTGAAGATTCTCAATTTTGTGAATAAACATCAGAGTTGTTTTTCCCTTTCATCCATATTTGCCCGTTTATGTTTGAACCTTTGCTTGCTCCTGATCAAACAAATAGGAAACTAAATGTTAGATTATACATTTTTGTCAGTGCACTATCTTAGACATTAATTGGAAACCAATTCTAGCTCATATCAAAGAGAAAAATAAAAGCTATAGTTTTTAATTTAACATAAACATGAAAAAAATTACCTATTTTCTTCCAAAACTAGGTAACTACGTTCGTCAGTTTGGGTCGTGTCCTCTTTAGATATATTATAAAAATATCTGCTATCACAACCAGCACGAGTGGCATCTCACCAACATTGTTATAATTGATTATATTTGTCATTTTCTCAAGGGTAATTTTGTTTTTATGCTTGTACAAAGTGTCACACCAAATATTAGTAATAAATATTTTATTACATTAAATTAAATAGAGCAATTTTTTAAAAATCAGAAAAATTTAAATTAAGATTTAATTTATATATATACTTTAAAGGAATTAAACATTAGTGGTAAGTTCTTTGTAGAACTCAATAAAACAAGTTTAAATTTAATGATTGAGAATGAACTTATATAAAGAAATTTTGCAAAGCAATAAGTGTACTGCTACAAGTAACAATTAGTATAACCAATAAAATAGGAAAACAAAGTATTGGATTATTAAATTATCAATATCAAGTAATGATCCTACAAGTTTCAACTTTCACGCATAGAAAGGAAAACCAATAGTATGGTACATGACAGATCGATAAATAAGTATATTCGTTTGAGACTTCTATAATAACACCCCTACAAAATGTCTTCACACGTAGAAGTGAATTGCATCAGTGGTACCTGGAATATAAAGTCAATTCTACTCATGGTATTACCATATTATACGAAGGTTAAAATATATATTTCATCTTATACTTACCATTTTTTATGAAATAATTTTTATACTTCAAAAATATTTACATTTTAATTTTTATATGTGTATTTCATTATCTTTTAAGTTCTGTTGCAATAACACTATTAATAAATCTGAGCTATAATGGTAAGAATCAAAACATAAATAAAATGCTCATATATAGATTAAAATATAAAATTTTTACACATATAAATTAATTTATAAAAAAGTATTAATTATAAAATAAAATATATTTTTTACCTGAAAATTTCCCTTTCAACCATTAGAACAAGGTCAAATTAAACTGCCCCCCTCCCTTTTATGCTCTCTCAATCTTTCTCTTGTATTCTTTACGTTTTTTAACATGATAGAAATCTCCTCCTCACAATCAAGTGAGGAATTATAAAAGTATAGTTTAAAAAAGTATCCAACTCATCCTACATGAGGGGTGAGAAATAATTGGTGCCCGCAAATAACACTATTACTCTTTTTTTTATCACAAATAATGGGGTACTATAGATAGAAAATTTAGCATCTCATATCCTATAAAATTACACTCACGTATTAAGTGATTCTGATTCAATTTGGATAATTTTTATAAAGAAGTTCTTATAAAAAAATTAGCACAAAAAATTATTTTTAATAAATTAAAAACAGTTTATCTCCTCAAATTTTAAAGAAATTAACGAAAGAACTCTTTAAAAATAAAATAAAAAATTAAATTATTTTAACTTATAAAAAAATTATTGAATTTTTATATTAATTTTTTTTCTTATAAAAATTTATCTAAAATTTTATCGGAAGGTCACCATGTCTATGCCAAAGAGATATTTTACCAATTCGATATCAAATTAAACTTTTAGCAACTGTTTTTTTTTGGGTCCACAAACTTTTACCAACGTTAAATGCATATCTATGTCCTTTCGGCCAACATTGTAGTACATGATGATGGTGTGTGATAAGGATCTTTGGATATGTGGGCCAAACCAAAGTTTGGAGGAATAATCTTTTTGCATGGTGATAGCTAAGCAAGCCGAATGCATCGTTGCTGTAAAGGTTAGTCCAATAAAATTTCCCAAGTAAAGATTTGTCCTAAATCTTTTGAGATTAAAAGAAGGGTAAAGTGGCAAGTTGTACGGTTAATCTTTCTCTAGATATGATCAATTTTAGAATAAAAGTGACCAGAAGCTGAGCTTCTCTAGGTATACATAGCTATATATAATATTAAAGTTGAAGGTTGCGTCATTTACATAAGAAAAGTTAACTAAATCATGTTCGTTGCATTGGGTTGAACCTTTGACACGCTAATCGTAATTTATATCTTATTATAAAATGTATATGAGTAGTGAAATGCGTGAGCACAAGCACTAAAAAACTCTTAGCATAGCTAAGTTGCAGCACCAAAATAAATAGTACAGCCCACAGTGCAACTCCAATAAAGAATGGGACAACAACACATCATTGCCTATTTGTGATAGTGACAATCCATACAAAAATCTTTCCACACTTCATAAAAACTTAAAAATTACCACGAGAGAAAATATGTAGAAGAATTTTTTTTTTGTTGGATTTAATTTTGTTATTATAATCTAAACTAGGAAAGAGAAAATATGTTTCACAAGGGCTAGTGAAAATATAGTATTTTTAGGCCTACGAGAAGTGGTATTAAGAACTAAATGTGCTCTATGATGTATCTTAAGTTGGTTGCTTCATTCCTATTAAATAGTTTTCAATTGAACAAAATCTACATAAGGCATGCGGCTATAATATGTTATTGGGTTCTCAAGTAAAATAAAGAATCAAAAGAAAGCATGATGGGTTTCAGAGACCAGGAAAAGAAGCAACAATGCTGACGCAACAGTATTGCCACCACAAAAAGTTGGATTGGAGGAAGCAAAAATATCAAAGAAAAGGTATAAGTGGATTGGCTGAAAATAAAAATTAATAAAAGATGACTGTGATAGTGTGAGCCACATTGGCATTCCTACGTGAATGTGCAATATTCTGACCCAATGAGCATGGGATTCTAATTAAGTGGAATGCAAACTCAGATTCTACTACCAAAGTGATGCTGATCAAACCTGGTCAACTTGGCCATATTGCTATTATAAAGCATATGATTTATGGAGGCGGAAAGTGTCTTAAAGACAAAAAGCTTACTAACTATATCACAAGATTCTGCCCAAAATTTTAATTGAAGTGCTCAGGTGAGTCAGCCACATCAGCAATGAACTGGCTACTTACCAAAATATTTTTGTACAAGTTTTGTAAGGTTTATATATATCAAATTGTTTATATAAGAGTGTGTTTGGGGGTAGGTTTTTGCAACAGTTAGTCCATTATTTTTTACTTGGGGTTACTATTTTTTATATTATGGGAATTGCGACCCCCGAAGTTAGAATTGAAAACCATCATCAGCTTTGAGATTCCCCTCACATATTTGTGGGAAGAACATTGATATGATTTTGTGCTTTAATCTGTAGCTCATTGGATAAGAATGAAAAGCTTCTAACTGAAAGTAAATTACAGTTTAAAACCTTGATATTATAATACATGTGTGATCTAATAGAGTTCAATGATTACTGAACCTTGTCACATTGCCCGAGACTTGAACACCTGAATGGTGCATCATGTGATGCTGATTGAGTCTACAACGAAATAGACATGTTAACTGTCTGACTATGAGGTAAACAGGAAAACTTTAAAAGAAGTTCATTCCAAAACAGTTGAAGCCTTGAAGGAATGAAACATTATTTATGTTCGTAACATAAAAGAAGCAGCCTCAGGTCATCTACTTGTAATTATGCATAGCTATGATCATGTAGTAGAACTGGTATGTTGTTTCTAACATGATCCGAGTTTGCATTACAGTGCATGAATGCCAAAAATAGCCTCCGTATTGAACTCACTTGAAGCTGTCCTGAAACCAGGAGATTTTAGCTTGGCGTAAGTCTCATGAAAAGCACATTCATAGATATCCTGCCCTTGAAACTTGAGGGTCTTGGTAGAGATGCCAGATGACGATGACATGAACATATCATAATTTGGGTTGAAAACCATCAGTGACCCATCATTGTGGTGATTAATCCATTCCAGTTGTACTTTTGGCATGCTAGTCAGCTTCTGCTGCTGGGAAGGCTTGTGAGACTCAATGAATAAAAGAGGCTTCTCTTGATCTGATGTGGTAGTTTGACTAGTTTCTGTAAGATTAACAATGGTGATATCATGTATACTAGGTCTCCTTTTATTGTCTTTCCCTCCAGAAAGCTTTTGCCTTATGTAATACTTTTGAGCATGGCTTGCCACTTGGGTTGGAGTCTTTGTGAACACAAAATTTCGAGAGATATTTCTCCAGTCACCTTTACCATACTTTAGAAGCCCCATCAGAAAACGCCTGAAATTCAATACCCAAAAATTCATATCAAGCGTAGGAACAAAAACGAAAAAGATAGATATTGAAACTGCCTAAATAGTACCCACCTAATTTAACTAACTTAACCTTGTGTTTAACAAGTCATCAGTTGTGAGAATGCATGCATTTCAAATTTAATTTACCACTCAATTTCACAGGCCAAATTATACTATAGCCAAATTAGTTGGCCAAATAACAAACCGCTATTAGTTGTTTTCTGATATAATCATGATTCGTAATCAGAATTTCATAATGATATATTTTCTTGCCTTGCCCAAAAGACAGAAAAATTATGAAACTCACCTGTGTTCCTCTTCTGTCCAAGGGACTCCTTTCTTCCTCTCTTGATCAGAACTTCTTACAGTATTAGGCCTTTTTCTGCATCCATCATAACTCTGATTGTAAACCAGCTCCAAAGTGAAAGAAGAAGTAGGATATCCAGGAACAGGAACCCTCCCTGCTTCTATTTCACTAACATCTTCTTCCAATTCCCTATATTGCTTGATCACATCAAAGACAGTTTTCCCAGGGAGCATGGCAGCTACCCTCACCCATCTATCTGGGGTATCCTTATCATATATGGCAAGGGCACTTTCAAACTTCTTATTCTCTTCTCTAGTCCATTCTGTGCTGTGACTCTCTTGAACAAACCAATTTGAATTTGACATAAAACAAGATGGGTATATAGTCTCGAATTCCATACCTTAAACGTTACAAAATTGCCCTACACTAACGAGATGGAAATGAGGAACTAGAAACAAATGCACAACAACTAAGGCCTTATGCAACTTTGATTAAAGGGACATGGAATTTAGAATCTTTCAAGTATAATCAAGAATCTACTTTCCTTGAGACCACAAACTAAAGAACTATAAAAGTTTAACTTGTAACCTTTGGAATCTAAGAGAATCTTGGGAAAAACATTACATATCCAGAAGGGAGGCCTGGTAATGCAAGTAATATGATTCAACTACAACAAAACCTTGTCCTACTATGTGAGTCGCCAGTAATATGATAGCGGAGATAAATATTGAAACTCAACTGCAAGTTGGTGCTGAAAGTGAGCATAAGTCCCAAATGAGAAAAGAGTGATCCTTTACAATCAGGAAAGAAAAAGCGAGAAGCTGTTTCCTTTTGTCATTTTTTCCAGGTGAAAAAGCAACTATGAAGGCAAATGCAGATAACTCAAGCAGAATGAAAAACTGGAACTGAAAGAGAATAAATCAAGATGTTGAATTGAAAAACAAATATTAGATTTGAATATGTTGACGGTTGTGGCTGTGTAGTGTGTTCAGAAGAGAAAGAATAGGAATTGATGTGAGAGAGATGGTTTGGGATGAATGTAAAACACTAGCTAGCAACTAGAACTAGTGACAAAATTCAGTCCTGTTTTATAAGCATTTTATTATTTATAAAAATTTCTATTTTAAAAAAAGCAACTTTCTAAGGAAAAAGGAATTACTATGGTATTATTTCATGGAATCGATGTTTGTCCATTCTTAATGTCTTATATTCCCTAAAAATTTAGTCAGAGCTATTCAGCTGCTGACATTCAATTTATAATTGTCAACTTTATTTAGTTAAAAACTATGAACTATAGCTGTTTTGTTTTGTTTGTACGTGAGGCTTAATTATGGATTAACACCCTTAATTAATCTATCACTTAAAATTTTAATTTCATTTTTTTATAAATTTTAAACTTGGTAATAAGAATTTATAATTAATTATTGATAATAAAACAAATCCTTATTAGACGTTTTTTCATTAAATTTAACTAAAATATAATAATATAACTTTTAAAGGAAGAGCCGTACAATAAGAAAAATAAAACAAAGTTTAATATACAATAATATAATAATAAAGTTGATTAAAAATATTAAAAATTACACACACATACAATAATATTAATATACAATTATTTAATTAAATCAAGTAATTAGTCTAAAAATATCACTATTTTTTAAATCTGTATAATAATTTATTTAATTTTAGTGTTTTGTTAAAGAATAAAAATGTGCTTTTTATATTTTTCAAGAACTAAAATTAAATATTTTTATAAAAAATGAAAACAATAATATTTTTAGAAACTCATTATTTAATTAAGCTAAATTATTTTAAAAACAAAATTTAGTTCTTATATAGATATATAAGCGCCAATATCATCAACTTGCGCTTGTAGCTCAGTGGATAGAGCGTCTGTTTCCTAAGCAGAAGGTCGTAGGTTCGACCCCTACCTGGCGCGCTTTTTTCGTGGAACATTTTGTGGAAGAAAATCATGTTACATTGAACATAATGCCCATCACAAACTTGAAATCTCTATGTGCAGCAAAATTTCATGTTTTCTAGCACTTTATAAAGTCTTGGGAGGGGTCTCTTCCTTTTTCTCACAACAAATGTATTTAATTATAGATCCTTTAATTATTATAACTAAGTTATTTTCTATTAAACAGACAAAACTAATTTTTCGTTAGTATCATTTACTTTTGCCTAGATATTGGTGATACCAACATAAACTTAGCTTTGAAATATATGACTAAATTGCACATACTTGTCTGAAGATAGCATAGATCTTTTAAAAAAACAGATAAAATTGATAATGAATTGCATCAGGTTAACAACTTAAGCAGCTGCTCCAACGGGTACACCACCCTTGAGCCTTGATGTACCATAAAGGGTTTCTTCAAACCGGATGATCTCATTTTTGGAGCCATAAGCAACTTGACTTCTCTCATCAACATTAGTGATGACCTTGTCTAGCACAGATTGATGCCCATCACTGCTGTATCCTCCAGCATTTTCAATCAAGAGCCCCAAAGGAGCTACCTCAAATAACAGTCTCAGCTTGGCTTTGGCAGAGGGTGATGCCACGTTTGTAAAGATGCCCTTTTCTTTTACTATAATCTGAATACAAAAGACATTTTGGAAACATATTATGATAGGTTGATAGTGTGTTTCCAAGAACATGTCATGTATGACTGTGTTAAGGAAAGAACCTGGTTGACATCTGGTACCATTCCTCCAGTGTATCTTAATGTGTATTTTTCTCTGACATAGTAATCTATCAACTATTGGATGACAAAGAAAGATGTAAATATTCACTGATATATATGTCATAATACTTAAAATCTTATTTTACTGATATAAGAATATAGGTATACCTTGGCATAATCAGGGTTGTCAGATGTGGCTCTCAAATTTCCTGGGGAGAACATTTTTCCTTCACCAATTTCTGTGGTCTCTTTGACATGCTGCCATTTTCCTGAAATATGAATTAGATAATTATCATATGATGAAGTTAGGATAAGACTCCTGTAAATTGAGGTTTAAAAAATGACCAAGTGTATACCTATCCTTAATTGAAAGTTCATTGCAATCTTAATTCTTACGCAACTAAAATTTAATGGTGGGCACATCCTTACTTGTTAAATTTTGAGACAAACTCACCTAGCTTCGAGGAGCTTTATTTTGCAAAAAATATTTTACACTAGTGAAAAGCAATGAAGGAATATGTACAATTTTCATGTTCAGTGATCTAGCCAGCATGAGAAGTTTAATTTTAAAAAAATTGTAAAATTCAGCCTTTAAAGCCGAGGATAATAAACTTAACTCCAATACTGAGGTTAAAAAAACTAATTTTAAACGATCATATCATAATATGTGACTACTTCCTTGCTAGATTTTCATAAATATTATGGCATCAAGCTAACCTTCATCAAGAAGAAGAAATTCATGGGTGCCAGGGAAGCCCTTAAGAGCAAGCACATATGTGGTTCTAGGACCCATAACCCCCATGGCTGCAGCAACTTGATCTCTTCCAGTGACCCCAGTTAACTTATCTCCAGGCCACACGCCAAAGATGGTGCCCACTGTGAAATTTGTATCCACTATGCTGGACCCATCAAGGGGATCAAAGGCAACACTAAATCCACCTGTTTGTTGCACATTCACACAAATGCATCACCTCAAAAATGAAATTTTTGTATTAAAGACAAGACTCAGAATTTAATTGCCATTTTAATATAATTATGACAGACCTTCAACTGGACCTCCCATGTCCTGGAGCTCAGGATCTTCTTCTGAGCAAGCATACTTGCAGAAGTGAGAGTAATTTAAGGCCTATGCATAGAACATTGTACAAGTCACTTTCATTGCACAATGAAAATAAAATGACATTATTTACTAATATTGAGAAATAAATCATATTAAAGTATTGTCATAACATAGCCAAGTATCCCTTAGTAAACCATTTGAATTGGTTGTCATAAATAAAAATTATGTTCAAATGCATTAAAACACATGAGGATGAGTGCATTTTTATTTGTTTTAACAAAATATTTATATTTTTTATTTCTTAACTACTACTCTTAAGGCAAATGTTCACATTTTCCTTATAAGAAAGTCACACTTGTCTACTTAACCAATCAATGTGCACCAATTGGGTTGAACTTAAAGTAAAGAGAAAATATGTTGTAACATTACAAATTTTTGTGTAATTAAGAAGAAACTATTGACAATAATACTAGTCTAACCTCAAAAAGAAGCTTGTTAGCCAGCATATCCACAGCAAGCTGCTCGTCCCCAAAAGAATTAACACATTGTGTTCCACCACAAGAAGCTGTCTTCACTTTAAAGGAAATTGTTCTTAAAGCTTCTCCCATTGACATCAACAACCTGATCAGCCCCTTATCTGGTGTTGCCTTTGTAAGGAATTCTTCCTACAGTACACAAACATCAATTCAAGTGCATGTAAACCAAAATGTTTACGAGTTATAGACGCATACGAGAGAAGTTTCATCAGTGTAAGCAACTCACCAAACTGTCACCAATTTCACATCTAGTTATGAGTGAAGTTTCCTTTGTCCTTGAAACCTTTAGTGTTGATTTGGATGCCACTCTTAGCGATTCTCCAAATAAAGAGCTTGATTTCAGACTCTGTTATCACAAATATGTTCACTTTAATACCCATTTTCTCTTGTTCAATTTAGTCTCATGCATGAATCATGACATCTCACGTAGAAAAAAGTTACATAAAAAAAGAATAAACCGCATGACAGAACTTTCAAAGCTTAAGTGCAAAGATTCAATCATTCACATAGGAAATCAATGATTGTGCATACCCTGAAGGCAAAAGATGGAGATATAGAAGGTGGAGAGTGTTTGGAAGAAACGGTAGGCAAGAAAGCCCCTCGTGTGTAGCATGCTATGCCAGTTTCCATGGTTGCAAAATTTCTTCAAAGGTTCAGAATGTTATTGCATTGGCACACACTGAGACTAAGAAGGGATAGCAATTTTAGATATGTGGCTAACTATGTATGTATTGCCACGTGGCAGGTGATGAGTAGATAGGCTAATGAAACTGCATGAATATTTAGCATCGCAAGTATTTTATGTGGTTGTGCTATGGTCCAATGTATAAAGAGATATGGTGGGAAGCTACTAGCCCCACTGTTTGTTAGTTTGTGACTTTGTGCTTAATCCGTGTCTCTCTGCATATGTGGTGTGGCTGTTCATATTTCACTTCAAGTTAATTATCAAATAAATGAACATCACTTTTGGAAGACACAGATAAAATCCTCACCAAACTTTCTTAAACCTTGGACACTGCTTTCATTTGGTAGAGAATGTGTGATTAAAGAAAGAAATCTCACATCTCAGCAGATCAATGTCACAAAATTCTTTAGCAAATTATGTTTTTGGATTATAAATAAATGTTTTGAATGCAAACTAGTACCTTGTTAGCTAATTTAAGCACAATTGAAGATGTGGGTCCCAGTTTTTCAAGAGATTTCTATTGGTATTTTTATTAATAATGTTGTAATTAAAAATTAGATTAGTCATATTTTACAAATACAATTTCATAAAAATTAAAAAGTACACTATTTTCGTAATAAATTTAAAAGTTACACTAAGTCGGTAAAAAATGTTCAAAAATTTATTAATTTTGTTTAAAAAAAAAGTCTATTTTTCTCTTTGTATCAAGTTAATAATATTATCAAGCACTTCTTTCTCTTTTTCAACTATACAAATTTTTGTAAAAATATATTTAAATTTAACTTCTCCTTTTCTTATGGTATTGTAGTTGTTAGGAATTGTAAATCTGAAACATTTTTTTTTTTCAATTATTTAGTTAGGGAGAAGTGTTAGTAAAACATGTACAAATCTGGACCAAATATTGATTTTTGGGGTAGCTTTTGCTAATGGGGCCGAAGTCACAGAAAATAATGCTGCTTTTTGGTCATTTGTATAACATGAAAAATGATGACCAAAAAACAAAAAGAATAATAAGAACAAAATATTACATACACAATTTTCGACGGGTTCTTGTTTCAAATTCGTTTTGACGCAAATAAAGAAATAACTTGTTTGAGCGTACAAAAGAATATTATTAATATGTATTTCTATTTATTATATACATGCTTTAAAAATATATTCTCAAATTAAAGGAGACAAATCTTTTCTTTTCTTATTTTTGTACGTTCACACTTTACTGTTAACATATGAACGCATAAAAGGGCAAGAGAAGACACAAGAAAATAAAGGAAGCTTCCTTGGGATAGTGACTCATTCAACAGAGTCTGAGAAGCAGCGAAATATCCTTCTTCCTGCATCAAGTTCAACACTTTAATGTCTTTGTTTTGGCATTCTTTTATCTTCAAGATTTTGTTTTGACACAGTGATGTCTTTGTCTTTCTCAGGTGCTTTTCTCACTCCTCAATGTCTGGGTTGTGTTCACTGGCACCCCTTTTTATTTCATATATTTCGAATATCTCAACAACCAATTTTAATTTTTCTATTGGGTGTTTCAGCTCGACCCAGTTTGGTTTTTACACATTCTAAACTTCAAAAATTAGTTCTTTAAAAGGAAACAACAAATTACTATCATTTTGAGAATCAAATTTTGTTCTGTTTTGCCCTCTGAATGAAAATCGTTGTTGATGCTTTTGAAACTGATGTTGTGATTATAGGTTATTATCCATTTGACACTTGGAAACAAAGTGGAGGTGTTACTTGAACTGGATTATAGGTTTGCTTATAGCTTGAAACTATGTCTGCTTATGCCCATCAAAATCAAATGGAGCAGGAGTACTCTCCACCTAGTCTCTCAGATGATTCTGGTATGCAAGGCCAACTTTTTATCTCACTCTTAGATGAATAAAAACTGCTTTATGATCGATGCTATTTGTATAGCCTACGATTAAATAGATTAATGTTTGGAGTTCTAATAATTATCACATACATGGTTTAAACTCTCGTTTTAACTCAGTTTATGATCGCAGATAAGGAGAACGTATCAAATCGCATGTAAACTAGTTTTTAAGTGAACTTGGATAAATTCCATGACTTCAGCAAAACAAAAGGGAAATCACATTTTCTCATCAAAATGACATCCGATAAAACTTTCCTTCCCTCTCCTCAAGTTGCGAAACACCACATTTGATATTAGGGGACCAAAATCAGATTGTTATTATATGATTTGGCTATTTAAATATGCTTTTAACTTTGTAATTGTCCTTTGTTTCATTATTATGACTCTTTAAATATTATTTTTGCATGATATATACTCGTAACTAGTTGAATTTACAAGCTGAGTTTACGGATACTCCATGAGTTTACATAAACTTTCAAGTTTGATAACCTTGATTACATATACTTACCTTTATGCAATCACCATTGTCACCAATGGAATAACTTGTAAAATGAATTTAACAACTTCTCTTCCCTCTCACCCGAAAATAAGAAACTTTAGAAGACTGAGCTCGTTTATTGATTTGGTTCAAGTTGGACTTATTTACCATGAAGTAGTGCTGGCAGATAATAATACAGAGCATGGTCTCATATTTCTTAATGTTTTAGCACCTTCCAACTGTAACTTTTTCGTTCACAGAGATGGGAAGCCATTACGAGATAGAATCAGGATTCTACATGAAATCTTTTACCGCAACAATCTTTGTTGCCTCACTTGTCACTCTTGGAGTTCTATTGATTACTTTGGTGATTTCCTTGGTGATTATGCTGCAATCCTGTCAAAGTAAAAATACCGGAGCTATTGAGCTTCTGAATATGAATGATTATTACAGTTATTGCAGGGTGTATTCTCTGCATGCTGAGCTCAATAACTTAGAAGGATATCATCTTCCTAAAATCTGCGGAGACCTGGCCGTACAGTATATAAAAGGAGGTCAATATGCTAGAGACTTGGATATGACTGTGTCTGTGATTGATGATTACTTCAAGAGTGTTAAACCTTCAGATGATGGTTTGGATGTGGCTTTGATGGACGTAGATGACATTTTTCCTCAGAATCCTTATTCTTCCAATTTGTTTCACAGGTAAATCTCCTGCAACTAATGCTCTCTACTTCAGGATAGTGGAAAACATAGAAAAAAGATCAAATTGGACACAACTCGTTTTGTGGTGTCTAATTTTTTATTAGTGATTCGTTGCAGTTGCAGCAACTTTCATCGGTTTAACAATTTATATTTCATGCATGTCAAAGCTCTGCCAATTTTTAATTCAATACCCTTTACATAGTTCTTCCAACTTGATGCTGATCTTCATTATCTGTTGTTTCATTGCATGTGGTGTAGGTTTTATAATGACAGCACTAGAAACTGTATTAAAGAGGCAAGGAATGTAAAGCTCATGTTTGTTTTAAGATTATACATGTACCTTCAAGCTGGTGGATGGTCTATAATTTTGTTATCAAGAGAGCCTGGGACACATCGAAACGTCACTGTTAATCATCTCGTCTCTGCAGGATTTAGAGGTTGGTCTGCCTTGATGATGAGGTATAGTGATTATATTCCTTTTATATATCCAAGATAACATATAGTAAGATAACTGTTACTCGGTTCTCAATTGGTTATGCTTAAAGTTGCTTTTCTTGGACTGAGGTTTACAAACACATTTTTAAGATGCTTCAAATATAATTTGATATCTACCACTCAAGTTAGCTTTAGCTTTCTGACTAGCATTTTAGAGTTGCATTTATGCAAACTTAAGCTTTAGCTCTACCAAAAGCATAGTATAAGAACTGAATCTTATACTACTAATTTACACTTTTGCAGAGCAGAAGATTCAGATTCTACCAAAGGGAATGAGTACTTCTCTAGGCAAAGGAATGTGATAGAGAGGAAGGGCTTCCGAATAAGAAGTATCATAAGCAGCCATATGGATGCGTTGACCATTCCAGATACTGGGATGCAAAATTTTTTGCTGCCAGACCCTGCATGTGACAAGTTTGAGCAGCAGATCCAAGCATAGCTACTAAATGTTAGTTTCATGATTCATCCTTCATGGGGACACAGTTGCTTTTAATTATGTGTATGATACTGTATTTTTCATTATTTTTCTAACATGTGTCTAAGGTGGTATAATTAGAATTTATATATAATATTTTTGATTGGAAATGGTAGGATTTAATGCACTAATAACATTAAACATAATTTCTAATAAAAGCAAATAATTATTTTTTTTTCATTGTATATTCTTGAGTACAGGTTAGAAAAATCATATTATTGAATATATTTTATTTTTTAAGCAATGACATATTGTTAGCAGAGTTCCACGTGGGAACCATAGTAGATGTGGGAAAGTTACTGGTGTTTCAGGAAATTACTTAAAACATTCGTAACCATATTCCTTTGAAATGCTTAGCGGCTTTAATAATCAAGTACAAATTATCCTAAATATTTACTAACTCGTATTTATTGAACTCCTGTTGCATATACAAAAATGGCTTTTGCCGCAAAAAGTACGGGATGGCACACTTGTGCTGTTTGGCGAATGTTTTATATGTCCAAAAATAATTTTGAGGTGAGTAAAATTAGTTTAGGAAAAATATTGTTTTTTTTTTTAAAAACAGATTTTTTTCTTTTTAAAAGTAAAAAAAATAAAAATTGCTTGTTCACATAAGTTTTATTTTATTTTCTTCTTAAAAACAGTTTTTAAAATATAATTTTTAAAAATAAAAAACAAAAGAGAAAGAAACAAGTCCTAAGTATTTTAGTTTTCTGTTGAGCAAAATTGAATGTTCTCAATTCACTTATACAATACATTCAGTTCGAGAGAAATAAAAGAAAATATAAAGTTAAAATTTCTTCTCTTTCATTTTTATCTCCTCTCCAATATTAAAGAAATTGGCAAATAAAGTGATGCTTGAGATTTTATTTATCCTCTCCTTTCCTCCTTTAGTACTATTATAGATATAATAATATTTTACCATCAATTTTCTCTCTTCCCCGTTTCGCTCTCCATTAAAATTCTCCTCCTTTGAACTAAACATAGTTTATCTACATAACTTGATTCAACCAAAATCAATTTTACCATCAATCCTCAATCAACGATAAACATAATTGTAAAAAGAACTCTGTACATAACTTGATTTTGAAATAATCAGATTGTGAATAAGCACTCTATCTCTGATTTAAAACGAACTACAAATGAAAAAAATAGAGAAACACAACTACCATTTATCAGCTGTTGCATTAATGGAGTTGTTCGTGTACATTTTTTTGCTTTGCTAGTAACCTTGTCATATTTGTAATACCATCCCCTCAAAATTTATATGGTCAGTTGATCACCATGCATAAAACATACCGGTGCCTAAAAACCAAATTATATGAAGTACTATACACATAATAAAGTAAAAAAAGATGAAAGTTGACAAAATCCTAGAGTAAAGGTGGACCAAAAGACTGAAGCCGCTGCAACCATGAGATCCTCAGATTTGGCTTCTTCAATTGCAGAAAAATTTCCCTATATTCCTGCTTAAGGAATAAATCTAAAGCAAACATGTACATATCACTTCCTTGCTCTATTTCTTCCATTCTATCTAGGCATTCTATGCATTCACCGATACTATAATTCCATTTTCCTTCGGTGGATGAAATTGCAATAGCATTCTTTTGAATATTCACACCATTTCTTGATGCAACAGCATCACAAAGACATTCAGTTTTCTCATCTGCGATGACTGTGTCAGGCTCTTTTGCATGCAAAGGGAAAGTAACAACACTATCATCACTTTTCCTTTGTTGCACAGCAGGTTCAGTCTCCCCTGTAACAGTAGTTCCATTAAAGATGGTTTCCAATATGTCAGTGAACTGTAGTTCCTTATAGCGAAATTGTGCAGCTTCTGGGTTTTCCTGTACTAAAACCATAATTATGATATGAGTAAAAGTAGATATCATAAATATCCATAAGATTTGGGAACATGCATGGAATACAAATTAAGTGCACTCAGTAATTAAACATACCTGTAAATAGTTGGTCCAATCTTCTTCACTAGCCTCAAATTTCTGGTTATATGGATCCCACTTCATGTTACTTGTGCCTATTAGCTTACACCAAATTTTCCATTGTTCCTTGGTAGAATCCCAGTGATTCTTAAGTTGTAATCTATCATAATTCAAACCAGATTTCACATAAAATGAATCCATAATATTCTTCCAACCTTCCTTGGTAAAATGTGTCCCAGGCTTATTCCCCTTTAATGTCTCTTGCAGACATAGATCAACGAAGATCTTGTGCACTGAAAGGGTCCATGTGGCTTTGACCTTAGTAAGTGATGAACTGGACATGCTTTGCTCACTTGGAATCGTACTGATTGGGATAGCATTAACCATAATGGCACTCTTCAATTCACAATCCCTGCCAACATTCTTGCGTTTCCTCTCTTGGTCTTTTCCACATGATGTAAGCAAAGCATCTTTCTGCCTCTTAAGCCTACTCGGAGTTACCATTTCCCCAGTTGGTATGCCTCCATCAAAGATGATGTTTAGTTTGTCAGAAAACTGGACTTTCTTAAACCGAAACTGTGCAGCTTCAGGGAATGCCTGTGACAAAATAATTTCATTACTATTTGTCTTAAACAAAGAAGATCTTTTACTATATTAAATGAATATTAATAATTACACTGAATACCTTTATACAATTGCACCAGTCTTCCTCTGAAGCGCCAAACTTACTGGTTTCTGGATCCCATTTCATGCTATCATCACCAACCAACTTAACCCAGATTTTCCATAGTTTTCTGGTTGAATCATAGTGATTCTTAATTTGTTTTTTGTCATATCTCATACCACTCTTTGCATTAAAGGATAGAACAATATTCCTCCAGCCCTCTTTGGTAAAATGTGTCCCAGACTTGTTCCCCTTCAATGTTTCTTCGATGCATAAATCAATAAATATTTTATGGTACGTAGGTGTCCAAGTAGCTTTTGGAGTTGGCATATAGTCAACCATAATGGCACTATTTAATTGGCAATCCCATTCCCTACAAACATTCTTACGTTTCTTCTCTCGCTCTTTGCCACGCAAAGGAGATGCAGCTGAAGCACCATTCTGCAACTTAAGACTTGCTAATCGTTTCATTTCCTCAATTTGATGTCCTCCATCAAAGATGATATCCAGCTTGTCTTTGAACAGGATTTCCTTAAACTGAAATTGTGCAGCTTCTGGGATTTCCTGCAACAAGATGGCTTCATTGTTATTAATCTGAAACCATGAAGATATCTTACCATCATCTTGGATGAATATTGATAATTTCTACACAGTACCTTTACATAATTGCGCCAGTCTTCCTCCGAAGCACCAAAAGTCCGTGTTTCCAGATCCCATTTCATGCTACTATCACCAGTCAACTTGACCCAGACTTTCCATAGCTTTCTGGTAGAATCATAGTGATTCTTAAATTGCTTTTTGTCATATCTCACACCAGTCTTCGCATAAAAGGATCCAACAATGTTCCTCCAACCCACCTTGGTAATTCGTGTCCCAGGCTCATTCCTCAACGTTTCTTCAAGGCACAAATTAACAAATATTTTATGGAATGCAGGTGTCCAAGTGGCTTTTGAAGTTGGATTGGACATCCTTCTACCATGAAAATGTTCTGCTAGTTTTTACATGCAATTAACTAGTTACTAACCCAAAAAACCAACTTCAGTCCTTGTTTTCAAATACCCCACTTTTTATCCCTACCAAATACACCATAAAGAATGTATTTTAATCAAAATAAACTCATTTAGAAACCAAATATTAAAACAGCTTCTTGAGATTAGTATATACAGCAACAGCCATTAACACATGGGATAAAAAAAACACTCATCAGCATTAAAAACTAAAATAACTCGCTTAGTGGATACAAACCCCTTTTATCTAAGATGAATTACAATATAAATTCGACATTCAAAAAAAGGATAATTTCCAACCTCAAACAGAGCAACAGAGCCATAAAATTCTATGAATGTAAGACATGCTGGTACATTTTCTGATGATAAACGGAATCAAAGCCGTTCAGTGATAATGGGACTAAAACCGAAAGGGAAGATTAATTAAAGACGATGAATTGGCACTATCGTTGCATGACACGACAAGTTATAACAGTAGAAAAAAAATTGGTGAAGAAAAGGGGAATGAGGAATAAAAGCGAGTGAGAGCGAAGTGTTAAACCTGAATTAAGTTCTAAGAACAATGCTGCATTTGGAACAAACGTGAATTTGTGTGCTTCGGAAACTCAATACACGAGCGGTGTTCTTTTTCCCCTGCGATTAGCTTTAAAAAAATTGTCCTCTCATTGTTCTGTTCTTTATAATTGCAAATGAGGCCCATAAATGGCCCCTAGCCGAGCCCTGTTTGTGGCCCAGGAGGAAAGCCCATGGTCTTTCTTGACATTTTCTTGTCCAAAGGGTATGGGTTCTTTTTTAACAATTTCCTTTTTTAGGGGGAAGGAGGAACTATGAATGCCATTAATGTGAATTATGTAGGAAAAAATTTATATCCCTTTTTTTAACCTATGCATCTACTGCATAGGATAGGATAAGTCAACCAAAGGAACCTAATCTTATAAAAAAAATAATTAAGATTTACGTTAAATAATTTCTAACACTTTCAACTAATTATTTCACTTTATACTTAAAAAAACTCAACTATCTTTTTCTCTTTTCTCGTTTAATTCGTGCACGTGGGAGTTTAGAGATAAATAAATTATATTCTTAAAGCAGATATAACACTGAAGTTGAGTAGCCTTTTCATAAACAAATAATAACGATAAAATCTTCAAAACTTAATAGCTAAAATATTGCTTTAATGTTGCTTTATATGTGGTGCAATTTTTTTGGGTCAGGCATGTGACGCAAATGAAGCTGTCTTGTAATTCTTTTACGGACATAGTGAGTGTAGAAAAATATTGGCATGCGTTCAAATAAAAATTGGGTTGTTTTGCATTATTTAGAGTTCATAATCTTATATCTAAAGCAAAGAGACAGTAAAGTGGAGAAATTAGTTGAGTGAGAAAAAAAATAAAGAGAGAACAGACAATTTGATAAAAAAAATAAAATTATATATAATAATCGTAGATCAAGTTAGCCACGAGAGATTTAATCAAGCTTAACCTATGCATTTGGTAAACTTATTATCTGCATTAGGTGGATAGTGAAAAAAAAATCTTATTTATTATGGCCAGTCTATGGGATGGATCGTGCGCATGCGGTCATACTTCAAAATTGTAAAGTTGTTATCTGAAAGATGATTTTGTAATAAAATTTTACTTTTTTTTCGTGTGTTCAAAGAAGCGAAAATAAAAATACTAGTCTTAATTAGCATTTGACATGTAAACAGAATCGAATAAAATATTTCGACTAAAAAATAAAAGAATAGAATATAATACTATATTTTAATATATTTTCTTTGATTCCATTATTTTTACTAAATTTAAGGTATAGCAATTTCTAACCAACGAAACTTAAATATAACAAAAAAAATTCATATAGTCCTAAAACTAAAACATTTTATCTCAAATTGCTGTCTTTTTCACCTAGATAATTAAAATTGATATTAATTATCAAAATAAAAATTGTTTTCATTGAAAAATACTAACAATATTTATAGTTGATGAGTTGTTGACTCGTGTAGTAAATTGAAAGTTTATGTCACATTTCATTGAATTAATAATCTAAGTTAATGCAAATTAATTAAAATAGTTAATAAAAAGATGTTATTGTTGGGAAGGTAATGAATTTTTCAGTTATTAATGGTTTGCAATTGATTTTTAAAGGATTCAAAAGAGAAATCGTAATTGAATTACTACAAAACACATTTGTGGGCACATGCATTTCTGATTGTGAGGGACACAAGCCTAACAGAGCATATAAAAATATAATTTATTTCAAAAGACAACATCTTTTATTACACTTTAGAGACACAAAATTTTAGGTTTTCCACGAATGTCGTCTAGTCTATTTCCTTCTTACTTTTCTATGGAATTTTGATAAGAAATAAAGTTTAATCCCTCAAATCCTTTTACTTTAAAATGAAACAGTGATTCCTACCATTTATAACTTTATGTAATTTCCTTTTATTCTGAACATTAAGTTTTATTCTGTAATATATTTCAATTTCTTTATCTTTATTTCTATTATGTCTTGCTAATTTTCTTGAAGTTGAGAGAGTATGAACTTAATTTTTTACCCATAGCAATGAACTAAACATTGAATATAATCTATTGCAATATGAATATAACTTATTTAATTCTGAATTTAAAGTTTCTCTATTTCTTAGAATTCAGAGTTGATAAAAAGAAGTTTATAATTGAAAAGTTGTAACCTTTCTTGAATTTGAATTAAATAACTCATTATGAATTATCTAGAAATAAAAGTCTCTGATAGAATGGTTATGTAATTTCTAAACTTAATGCTGATCATCTTTTCAGTTACCTAAAAGATTAGGAATTTAGAACTGGTTTAAAAAAATCAACTAAAGAATTAAAATTGGATATATTGAAAAATCTGATCATTAGATTGAATTGTAATTTAAGTTATATATATAAGAAAAACAGATTAAAAAATTTTGAATTCATCTCACTTTTTAATTAAATTACAACTCAATTTCGTTCTCTTATTTAGTTATATTTTTCAATTTAATTTCAATTATAATTAATCCCTTCCATCTAAATTGTTACTTTTATTGTTAATTAAATTTTTTAACACTTACACTTTTATATTCTACACTTTATCTAATTTTTTTTGTCTATATTTTAACTTTATTTTACGACTCAACTAATAATATTCTTGTAATTTGGTATTTAATATCAATATCAATAGACAATAAAATCTATTTTGTTCCTACAAATGATTTGGTACACTAGCTAATTCGTTTATCAATAGTTCCGTGTATGCACTTTTTAAAGATCATTCTATATTGTTCTATTTTAAACATGTACCAAATATTGAATAGAATTCATGTGTTATGTTCCATTCTAACACATTCATCCTTCTCTACCTTAGGCACTCAGGAAAGACACTGGAGATTCTATTGGCGATCATTCCATTGCTTGCTAGCAAATCAAGCTTCATTTCCTCGGTGTCATCCTCAATGATATACGGAATGAGACAGAGTGAAATTAATTGCAACAACAACACGAAATTTTTTGTACATTGTAATTCAGTAAGAATAACTCCGTGACTCCAATACATTAGAATGAAAAACAGTTTAAAGGACAGATAAAAAGGATAGGGTGGTGAAAATCCTAAATTACTTTTCACACGCAGAGGTGAAAGTTCCACTTTCTATATTGGTGTACAGCATTACAAATATCTTAATTGAAAAATCTTGATATAAACATCAGCCTAATCTTGCTTCTCTACGCAAAACCTGGAAGATAGAAACCCAAAAGGGAAACTATCAGTAAAGAATGTTTAAACATGCACATGACAAAAGTAAGATCAACGACAATTTACCTCTTCGGCAAATTTTATCAAAATTGTTGTCCGTGGTCGTTGTTGACCTTCCATGGGCACAAAATGTGCTGTTACAACAGCTGGAAACCCGGCACCATCCAAAACACCCTTCATTGATGAATGAAATGAAATAAGACCCCTGACCCGTGACTATGAATAAGATAAATAGTTGACAGTAACAGAACAAAGCAAAGAATTTACCCGTACTATTCCAGCAACAAATGCTCCACAATTAAACGTCCCCATGTCCTTAGGGATAGAAATGAATCTATAAAGCAGAGATTTATAAGTTCACTACTAATTGATGAACAAAAATCCAGTATGTGTAACAGTCAAATAAAATCCTGAGATTACTTGTTTACTAGGAGCTCCTTTTCACTGATCATGTATTCATCTTCATGTTCAGTTCCTTTCTCAAGTGAATCAGCTACCTAATATAATTACAAATTAAAAACAAAATGTTGGAACTTAGGGAGCTGCCCAAAAATTAAGATAGTTATCATCTTTACGCATACAACCAGAAAAGATTAAATTTTAGTCAGGAATTTCTGCTTTGAAATGTATCCATAAAGATAAATTTATATTTTGATTGTTACCAAAAAAAAAATGGTACTAATGCTCCATTGGTTTCAAGTCACATCTCTTACACCATTGACTATGTTTATACCTACAAGATATATGTCATTGCCTATATATTGAATAGTTCTCACAGCAAATGCATGTTGTATGTGTTTCTGGTGTATACCACAAGATTTGCAAAGTGAACCATACATATGAACTTTCAAAATACACAAGGAAAAACATGATATACAACACACATGACAAGAATATATTGATTGATCGAGAATAAAGAGCATATCAATATATTTATTTGCTAAACATCTACAGGGCCTTCGACTTGGCTGGGATAAGCAGTTCTTCTCATACAAAGGACCACATTAAGGTGAACCTCAACCACACCCCCCCCCCCCCCCCCCCGACACACACAAGCTTGCTAAAGCCAACCATCATAACTTCCTAGAGTGAACAATCATACAGCTCTGTATAAACATAAAATAGTTTATCTTATGCTATCCAGCATGTCTCACAGATAAGATAATATTGTTTTCATGAGACTAATGTGTATACAGAACCTTTTGCCAAAACTCATGTCTCTTAGCAGGTATATTTCATGTCACTGTGTAACACTACATTTATTTGACCTTTCCAAAAATTGATAAAATTGGGTAATGAGGGAATAAAAAAAAAATTTTATGAAGAAGCAAACCTTTCCGAATAATACTTTCCACACTGTACTGTGCACAAAAGAAAGAATACCCAACAGCCGTGTCTCCCTTCGGTTTCCCTGTAGTTCCAGAACAACTACATCAATGATGCAAAAAATATAGACATAGTCCAGTATTGTGGCCAAACTCAAATCAGTAAGTGGAAAATTTCAATATATACAAACAAATTGCCCATACCAAATAATCACAATCCATAAAGCATAGAAATGGTTAGGAAACTGACAACATATGGGATGATCTGCACCCAAGAGTTCCCCCCCCCCCATTTCTTTGATCAAACAATTTCATAGCTAGCCAGTCTAAGACTCCCAGCTCATGGATTGAAACATAATATAGATGTATAGTTTTGTACCATGGGTATATAAAAGTATAACTGAGTGACAAATCCTTTAATTAGAGGAAACTACTGGGAAACCTAAACTATAGTCCGAAGTCCAGTATCTCCTTTTATCAGGGTCCAGGATTGCCTAAATTTATCCCCTTGATATTTAATCTTGGTTATAATAAACAAAGAAAACTTCTACCAGAATTTGTGAAAGCAACCATACCTTATCTCTGTGACAAAGAAGCTCAAGGACCCTAGCCCCAACGGCATATCCAGCATCCTCCAGCCTGGTGAATTTTCGTAGTTAAATATCAGCATACATGTTGTTAACAACAATAAAGCATCAGGAAAACGGTATTTCCAAGGCAATTCAATCTTAAGTTCACATAAGCATCATAAGTTACAAATAAAGTACAGAAAGCAACATTGAAGTATAATTAAAATTTCAGATTAAGAGTTTACTGTCATAGATCCAGTGAAACAAATCATCTTAAATAACAAAGCACCCAAAGGATCTCTCTCCGAATTCAAAACAAAAAGAAAACGAATTTGAAAGTAGTGAAATAGAAGATCGAAGACCTTCGTTCGAGCTCGCCAATATTATCGACCTGCGTTTGGTTGTACTGAACAAGCTCGGAGAACAAGAACGCAAATGCACTCAAACTAACCTGCACCAACAACAACACATAAAATTAGCCATAGAAACGTGTAAACAGCGAAATCAGATAAGGCAAAAAAAGTGTTGCCGAATATGAAAAACGCGAGATCTGCAATGTTGATGATGCAGTAGAAAGGGAATGAGAGAGAGAACCTCTTGCTTTCCTTTTGTGAGAGGCTTGTCGAGGACATTACTATACTGCTTCATCTTTCCGACGCCGATCATCCTCTTCCTGCTTCTCTTTCTTAGGTTAACGCAGATTTTGGTACTCTCTCATTTTCTCCTTCTATGCTATGCTATGTATTCAATATTTTTAAATTTACAGAAATGAAAGTTAATTAATACATTCAAAATTCTTTGTAATGTAACAAAAACTATATATGAATTTAATTTTAATGCATAGTTAGTATAATAAATAAAAATTTAAAATATAATAAAATATTTTTATTGATTTGTATGTGTAATATATACATTTTTCTTGTTTGACATTTGGCATTGACATGACTAGACTAGTTTATTTAGGATGAAATTACTATTTTTCTGTAAAATGAGTATAAATTGTTCCTAGTTATATACATATTTTTCCCTTCAATTAGTTTATATGAAATTTTAGAACTTGTTTATATTAGTTTTGCCGATTTTCATTAGATGAAAATAATCAATTGAATAGTTTTTGCTTTTAAAAAAATCGTTTCAAGTGCTTGAAAAATTTGCAAAATTAATTTAAAGTGTTGGACAAATAGACTCTTGGTCTTTTAATGTTTCTTAAGCTACTTTTTATTTTTAAAATTGAATAATTTTAGTCCTATTGTGTACTTTTTCAATTTAAAATCTTTAATTTATTGTTATTGTTATTTTATTTAATATTTATGGTTGATAACAGATTTGGGATAAATTTTATTTTAAAATAAAAATAAAAATATAATTTAGCTTGCTTCCATTGTAACTTAAACTTTCTTAAATACTTCAGTGTTGAGCACATCATAAAAAATTAGAAAAGACAAACTTATCACACGTACAAAGATTGAAATATATACTTAAGCCTGTTATTTTAAAAAAATGCTAACAAGTGTGAAATGTCGTTAAAAAACTAATTAAAGAATAAAAAGTAAAACTATTTTATTTAAATAATATAAAAATATTTTATAAATTTTAATACATTTTAATATAATATTTAATCAACTTTATTATTTATTAAACTAGTACCAATGTCGTAATCACTATTTAATCCTTATATTTTTTTCCCAACATTTCCGATGCATCTGCGAATGTATTTTAACAATTTTTTTAATATTTGACTCCTTTAAATAAAAGTAGTATTGAGAGAAAAAAACAGTGTTTTTATGAATCTCTTTTTTTGGTAAGAATGTGAAATTTGCAATTTAAAATTGACATTGCATTAATCTATATACCTACTCAATCAATTCTCATTATGCCGACCAATTTAACCAGCAAAGCAACCCATCATGATCCATCTTCTCGTTAATGCTCTAATTTTCATTGGAAAATATTAATGTCTGGGATTACATAATTAATAATTATATTTTCATTAAAAATAATATTTGTTATGCTAATATATTTTTAAATAATAAATTATTTCTTAATAAAAAATAATTACTTTAAATATTTAAACTTACTAATTTAACAAAACTTTCATTCATTTTGCTTTTAAAAAAACACTATTTTGTATGGCTAAATTGAAATTTTATCATTTGATCCATTGTTTTTTCTTTTTAAACGATATTTTTTACAAACAGTTTTGTTTATCTTTTTTTCATTTTTAAAATTTATAAGGATTGAATGGAAATTTTAAGATATTTATGAAAATTAAATGAAAAATTTGTCACATTTTAAATGGATTAAATAAATAAAATAAAAAAAATTAATTTTTTTATAAAAGAATAATTTTAAAAAATAAAAAACGTGAATTCAAATAAAAAGATTATTAAATCATATTATTTTGGTAATGGTAGAAACATTTTTACTCCTCGAAATTTAAGTCTTTTTGTTATAGGAAAAAAGTTAAAATTCTTCTTCAATAATAATAATAATAATAATAAAGTTTAAAGTCTACTAATTTTCATGCTGGTTCTTGGGTTGTTGCCCATGGACCATAGCATTGAGACAGGAAAAAAAGAAGAGTGATAGTGGATTCTACCGAACGAATAAAAAAGTGTTAATGGAGCCAGCAAAGATATTTACATGTTTCTTCCCAACAGTTATTTGCAATGAAAATCACTTCACTCTCTCTTTAGTATGGTGACCATCACATTATTTTTTCTCATTATATATTCAAAGACATTCATCGTTCCAGCTCCTAAGTCCTAACCTCACCCTCTTCTTCCATTTGGGTATATCTTTCGCCCTCAAAATTTCATCTTCAGCTTTAAAGTTCAAAGTTTTAGATCACAACAACACTCCCGTTTATACGCTTTCACCGATCCAGGTATGTTCTAATGCTAAAATACCCACTTTGACTATGTCAACTTTATAGCATTTCATTTCCTCTATACATCCACATCTATTCATTTTGGTAACGTTTCTCTCAACCAAACAGATTCACATAAAGATGTGTTTTTTAGCTTTAAAATTTTGACCCTTTCTAACCATTTGCTAAAACTGCTTTCTACTTTTGTTTTTGGGTTGTTCTTCATGTTTTTGGTTCATCTAGCAGTTCAAGTTTGAACGAGAAAAGTAGTTTCTGAAGCCGATCTAGTACCTTGGGAATTTGAAGTTGGTGGTGAATTTAGATCTAAAAGCCACAGCAATGTCTTTTATTGGTACTCAGCAAAAGTGCAAGGCTTGTGAGAAAACGGTGTATCCCGTTGATCAGCTTTCTGCTGATGGCACTGCTTATCATAAAGCTTGCTTCAGGTGCTCTCACTGCAAAGGAACATTAAAGGTGTTTTTTTTTTCCATCAATTTTTGTTTAATCTATTTGCTTGCTTTGTTAGGGCCATTACTGATTTGATGGCATATCAATATTGTTCTGCATTCTCCAAACTTGTTTCATATTTTTATTTGTTAGATTTTGCTAAAGATCCTTGCTTTTACTTGATGCTGCTTTCTTCCATGAGAGTTTTATTTGACCTAAGTTGGTAAACTAAAAAACAATTATATACATGTATTCACCAGAAAAAAAAAATGAGGTGTGCATACTGAAAGTAAGATTTTTGGAGTGTAAACTATTCACTAGATTACTGTAACAACATAGATCGGTTCCTATTTGGGTAATGCTGAGCACCTTTTGTGGTAACATTGGAGTGTCTGAGGTCAAAATTTTTCATGTACTGTTATTGATGATCTTTTTGTTTCAGCTAAGTAACTATTCATCAATGGAAGGTGTTCTTTACTGTAAGCCTCACTATGAGCAGCTCTTCAAGGAGACTGGTACCTTCAGCAAGAACTTCCAGTCACGTATGTCTTCTTCTTTTTCTTATTTGAGGATAAAGCTATGATTGTGATTTTTGAATCAGATTCATCCTTAATTGGCCATATTTTCTGTTTGAACAGCTGCAAAGCTATCTGACAAGACAACTCCTGAGCTGGTAAAAATTTTAATTTTGCATTTTTCAAACGTCATTGTGATAAATAGGTCTATGGAATTCAGTATTACTGAGTGACTATTGGCGTTTTCTGTTTATTCCAGACAAGGTCCCCCAGTAAAGCTGCGAGCATGTTTTCTGGGACACAAGAAAAGTGTGCTACATGTGGCAAAACTGCGTATCCATTGGAGAAGGTAGGATTAAAAAAATCTCAGAAACAAATTCATTGATGATCCTGTAGATTATTTTTCCTATCTAGATCCTCTAGATTACTAGATTATCCTTCTTCTGTAGCTGTATGATGCTGTGTGAGTAACCAAAACATTTAACATTGTTATGTCTTTCTGAAGTTGTAAGGGGATAAGTGGAGCACAAAGAAGGTTGGAGTAAAATGCCTTTTTGTCCTTTTCTGAAAATAGTGATGAGTTTTGGGCTAAAAAGCACATGTAGTTGTTTGACCTTTTGCTTTGGCTGGTACTCATGGTTCTGTGAAATCAAGCAATATGTGTTACTTCCTCCAAAAATATCATGTGCAAAATAATAGGACTTTCCTAATTTGAATCGTATTTTCTATTTGGACCACAAATAGACTTTGGTGTGGCTTCCTTGTGTTGTTTGGAGATACATGTGTAGAGAAAAAGTTCATATTTTGTTTCTGTTTCTTAAGATGATGAAACCTATATTTTGATTTTGTAATTCTTGTAAGTCAAGAAAACTAAAATTGCATTTGCTTATGAATAACTGGTATTTCTTCCACTCACAAATAATTATAATAAAAAGGAAATCCATGCTGATAGTGAGTACTGAGTACTCACTGAGTAGTGACATATGATTAGTGACTTGGTTTGCCAAGTTGATTGAAACCGGAGAGGAAGTATTCCTGTTGGTATTTCCAATCACTACTAGATCTGTAGTACATTATTAGGCATTTTGTATGGGCAAATTATGGTTGTGGTAATAAATATCAACTTCTAAAGTGGTTTTAGATTCTTGTATCAGTTTATTCTAATTGAACACATTCTTTTAAACATATTTTTCAACACATTTCTTGTAAATGAACTAATCATAGAATATATTGAAGAGTGTCTTCGAAAGAGTATCTTGTTAGCATTTTTCTTTTTTGTCATTATGAGGTGAGAGTAGACTTTATCTTCCTCTCAAATTCAAACTGGGGGTAGCGCTCTAAGAAAACAAATCTCTGATTCAAGTTAGCAAAGGCTCATTGACTATTTATTATAATTGAAAGCTATAAATTATTTGTCTAATTGCATGAGTGAATAAATCTAATTACTATACATCTGCAGTTAAGCTGGATTAGAATTTTCTAGTTTTCTTATTACGATTTATAAATATATATCTTTTATTTGAGTGTAGGTAACAGTGGAAGGCCAGGCCTATCACAAATCATGTTTCAAGTGTTCACACGGTGGTTGTCCCATAACCCCATCAAATTATGCAGCCCTTGAGGGCATTTTGTATTGCAAGCACCATTTCTCCCAGCTTTTTAAAGAGAAAGGAAGCTATAATCACCTTACTAAATCTGCATCTATCAAACGAGCAGCAACATCTGTTCCAGTCCCAGAATCTTGAATGTTTCATCCCTTTTATTGTTTAAATATATTTTGGTATGTCAACCAAGTGTTTGTATGTGTGCCTTAAATTTTTTAATTGTTCTCTTGTGACTTCATCCTTTCTGATTTTTTTTCTCATATATGCGTGGAGTGCAAATCTTGTGTGGTTTATTTTTATCCATTGCACATTCATAATTGACTAATGAGAGCGTGTTTTGAAGTTTTCTACCGAATGATATTTTATGTTCTTATACAATTTTTGAAGATTGAGACATATTGGGGTTTTGGTATTTGCAGTGGGTGTTATGATTGATGTCGTTCGAAAAACGTTTTGTTATAGTTTCTCTAAAATCATTATCATTATTTATACAATTATTATAAATGAAAGGCAGAAAATCGGTACTAGCATTGCAATGTTTGAGGATGTTATTCTAGAAAAAATGATCGTTTAGAGAAAGAAGTTTTTAAATAGTTCGACTGTATTGTAATGCTTTTTAATAAAAAGGTTGGTATTATTCTGAAATATTAGTCATCTAGTGATATTATTATTCATCAATCAAAGATAAATGATAGTTGTTGACGACAAATATCATGATAAAATGATTATCATTAGAGTTAGCGATAATTTTTCATGATTAATAGTCGTACTCAACAAATATTATTCTTTAATGTTTTTGACAATTTCTTTTTTGGAAAATTCATTTATGAAGGATTTAACTTTTAATTTACGCCAAATGATGAATTAAGCCTTTCATATAGCGATAGCAGTAGTAAAAATATGAAAATACTGAAATAAATCTATATAAACTTTCCGTTTAAGAAATTGAAAATGAGAGACACATATAAAAAACAACACGAACATCATATATCAGACTAGTAGACTAGTTTTTTTTTATATATAAATATCGATTCATAATTCACATTTTCTAAGTGAATGCTTTGCTTTCCACATTGTTTCTGTGGTTCTCTCAGTCCTACGTTTCTCGATCATCAGCTTTAAGGAGATTGTCTGGAACTGTTGTTTCAAGTCATTGATTTTTATTTTGCGGTAAATTTACTTGTTTGAATTTGATCAATATTATGATTATGATAATTACTATTGAAAATAAGAGCGTGTTTTAAAATTACGTAAATATAAGTTCAATCAAACAAACGTCCACAGATAATAACTTATTCGATCAATACTACAGATAACTTACTACGGTGTCGTTTCGAGAAAGCTGGAGAGTTCCCGTGCCGGTGGTGTTGTGGCGGAAGCGAAACCCTAATTGACGACAAATGTCGGAACCATCGTCATCTTCGACGTTCCGAAACCTTCTCCTTCGTTCATCGGCCCGAATCGCAGAGTCTCTGGCCACCATTCCCTACACTCCACACCAAAGCTCCAACGTCTCCGTCAAAGCATTTCTCGAACCCCTTCTTCAAACCACAGACTCTTCGACAATTGACACTTCCATCAAAGACTTCACTCTCGCCTGTGCTCTGCTTTCCTCTTCCACCTTCGACTCATCGCCACTTCTCTCGTGGATTCCCATTCACCTTTCCTCTCTCGCTACCTCTTCCTTTTTCGAGCTCTCCCACGCGTACCTCGATGAATTTGATGAGAGGAACTCCCAGAGGCTTGCCGCACTGGGTTTGAATCGTGACCTTGTTCCTCCCGAGAAGAGGTTGATGCTGGAATTGATGCCTCTGGTTTTGCCTTTTCTCAAGGAAAGGATTAAGGAGAGTTCCATTGATAAGTGTGATGAGACTGACGAGTTTTCTGCAGCGTCTGCAAGAGCCCCTGTTGGCTTCGCGATTCTCGCTGCTTTTCAGTTTAGATGGTTTGTTACTCAGGTTAGAGTCTGCTAGGGTTTTGGTAATTTGATTATTTTTATTTTTATTTTTTAATTTGTCTATGCCGAGACATTGAGATGTTGAAGGTTTTGAATTGGTTTTGTCACAGGTTGATGATCCTCATTTGGGCAAGTTGTGTGGATTAGTGATTCCTTGTGCACTGACTGCTGTGGATCATTGGTCGCCGGCGGTGAAGGTACGTGTCGTAACTTGAAGCTGGAAATGCTCATGGAAATTGTGGTGTTTGTTTGATTTGAGATTGTGATGTAACTTGGGAATTGCAAGTTTATGGAAGGGAGTGGAATCTGAAAATAGTTTGCTTGGTGGTGACTCTTTTCTATTGTGTGATTTCAGGGACAGGGCATGATTAGCCTCAGGCATATTGGAAAAAATGTGCATGCTACTGAGCTTGGTGGGTATGTGGATGTGATTCTTGATGCCTGCTGCCAGAATACTGCCTCTGATGATGAGATATGGCACCATGTGGTTGAGGCGTCGGTAGTTCTCGTGACTCTTACTCAGAGGGGTAATCCACGCAGTCCGTGGTATATTGATGTGTTTCCTTCCTATGTTCTTTCCTGTTTAGATGTTATAACTTTGTAGGACTTTGTAAAGATCTTCACATGTTAAATACTATATGGTCGTAGGGAATTCTGGCAATTGGGTTTTTGGCTAACTGAATAAGCAGGAAATGGGTATTATTTATCCACAAATTTCTACATCTTTATGCACTCGGAGAATGCATTTGGTTGTTGACTTTTGTCCAGGCTGAAACTTGAAACATAGTTTTCAGAAGTATGGTATATTGTAGGACATGTTGATTATACTCCACTAGTCCTGATTCTTTTCACCTGATTATTAGGAAGAGGTTAACAAATTACATAGCTTCATTTTTATGGCAAAGAAAGTTTTGGCTTGTAATGGATTGAGGGAGCAGGAATGTTTTTAATCCCAGCTGATATTTTGTTTGATTAAGTGGCTGTTGATCTCATCAAGTAGAGAGTCAATACTACCATGGGGGCAGATTTCAAATGTTATGGGTCACAAGTGAAGAATATTATTTACCACTTGAGAGGGTGTTATATTTTTTTGGACAAAGTTGTATAAATTTCCCCATAAGCCATACTCGTTTAACTCAGAAAGTGTTCCTCAATATCTCTGGTCTTAGAATAGTAGGCTATTCTCATGTTCAAACTCTCAGCTCTTTGGGTATAGGATGTATGTTTTTTTATTGGTCAATGATGAGGTTTCAAAGTTATTGTTTTTTGGCTTATCTCATAGGTTTGAAAGGATGCTAAATGAGATGTTAAGTCACTTGGAGCGCCAGCCCAGAAACAAAGAGCGCCGCATTGCTTGGCTTAAATATATTGATTCACTATTTAATGGAGTTGGTCTTATGCTTTTAGCTCACTTCAGGCGCATTTTCCCATTATTTTTTCAGTGGATGCATGCTGATGATAGTGATACCATTATTTTGGTGAGGATCTTTATATGTGTTGAAACTTTGGAAAACCCTTTTTAAAGTTTATCTTACTGGACCAAAATCACTGGCTGTAACTTGCAATGTTGAAATAGATGTACACTCAAAACAGTTGAGATTATTTTAACATGGAAGAGATTTTAGCATTGGCAATCCTTTCTCATTATATGGTTTTGACATGGATGAACGAATATGCAACTTTGATCTTTTAGTATTTGGTAAAAAGAGAAAAGGTAATTTCTTTGATATGTTGCTATTCTGCAGGTTCTAAAATGTACTTACATAATTTTGAGACTGACGTGGATAAGGAACTCACCATATGTTGCAAGGTGATATAAAAAATTTCAGTGAAATTTTTATTTCAGATAAATGTGGCATTGAAGTGTTATCATCATCATGAATATTATTGTTAATGTTATTATTATTATTAAAGATCACGTTACACTGTAATTATCTGATGTAAATATTGTATCCTTAATTTAATTAATCTCATGATTATTTTTTTTCCCTTGCTATGATGTGATGTTTGTAACTTTACTTTCATTTTAGATGTTTAGAAAAACAGAGGGTCTACACAAGAAGATGGGGGCATGACTTACTGATGTTACTGTTTGATATTTATTTCATCAAGGAATGATATATGTACTCATATTTTTCAATGGTGATCATCTTGGCATCCAATTCTGGAGCTTGATTAGTTCCTTATTTCGTCTATTGACAGCCTAGATTGCATTTCAGTTGAACACTTTCTGCATCCCTTTTCCACTTACGTGACTGAATCTTGGCTATGTGGATATTAACAGTTCTTTATCTCTTATCCTGCATTTGCCTTGTCTAATCTGATTCTTTTGGAGCACATGATTTGACTTTCAGATTGGTAGATGAACTTGCCCTTGTGTATAAGGAGGCGGCATTAAGAACAGCTTGGGAAGAGATTAGAGAAAATATATGTCAGATACTGATCCTACTTCAAGAGTAAGGCTTCGTTTTTGGTTTATTTTCAACAAGTGATAATATTTTCATCCCAACATTTAGTCGATGCCTTTCTTTTGTACCCAGAAGCAAAGGTTTTTGGTTTATTTTCAACAAGTGATAATATTTTCATCCCAACATTTAGTCGATGCCTTTCTTTTGTACCCAGAAGCAAAGGTTTTTGGTTTATTTTCAACAAGTGATAATATTTTCATCCCAACATTTAGTCGATGCCTTTCTTTTGTACCCAGAAGCAAAGGCCTGCATTTTAACGCAGCTTGGGACAAGCATCGATCCGATCCAGACTTGGTCACTCTTGGTCTGTCATTAAGTGGAAGAAATAGTTCTAACCTCGATACGGTTCCTTCAGAGGATTGTCGACAGCAGGGTTCGGTACCCGTTCAAAATTGACAAGTTGACTATGCATTTCTGATTATTTCAGTGTACCACAATTTGAGTTCTTTTAGGTGCAAGTAATTAACAAGTTGAAATCTTGGAGCGTAAATAACAAATATGTAAAGCTTGTTTTTGTGTTATATTCTTTGAATTTATTTGTTGTCATTATCAAGTTCAAAATATGTCCAATGATATTAAATAAATTCACGACACCAAGGAGTTCGACAATGTGTGAAATGTGAATTTTATCATTAATAAACAAATGTAAAATTGTAAATAGTGTAAACAATAGGTGTGTAGATATCCAATTTTACAACTCTTTCCTCTAAGAATAAATGATAAAAAGTACTCAATTATCCCATCATAGGCGAAGTAGAGACATTAGTCACTTATTGCAACTTTTGTACTGTGGGCTATTTCTGCATCATTGCTAATACAATGAGGAACTCGTTTAAAGAGGCCTTCCGTGTGGGGAAAAAAATTGTATATTAGAGTCAGAAATCTGTGGATTCTGATCACTAGAAGCTAAACAAATTTGCCTCATGGAATAGTGAGGTGGTCTGTGCAGTAACGAAAACAAAATATTGTGAGTTTGCTGACTTCCCAAGAATGATGTATCACTTGCTTCGCTTTTTGGCTTCACTATAGAGTATAACTCCAAATACTGTGAGCGCGTAACCCAGCATTCCAGTGACTGATACTGGGTTTCTAAATATTAGAATTGAAACTACTACCGCTACAGCCCCTTTAGCATTCCCTAATACCTGTGCAAGCCAACTTAGTTAAAGTACCAATATAATAATAATGAGCATAAATTAACGAAAAGAAGAATCACTTAAAGCAAAGGTCAAAATCAGACTTAAAGAAAAATGCATGTCTTGCCACCAGTCATCTGCTTGTATCCTCATTTGAATCACACACCTTTCATTAATCCAAAAACATTCGATGATATACAAACCCTTTGAAGATGAAAAACGAAAAATTGAAGAGGAGTTTGTAATAGGCGTACAAGCAATGTTTAAAAATACTGGACTAACACTAGCTTTAGAGATCCAGCACAAACGTTTCAGAGGCATCCCCTGAATTTGATATTGCAAGAGCTATTTATGAAATATCTGATAATCACAGAATCTAAATTCTCCTCTTTACTAGATACTGGGAAAACTGTGTATAGGATGTAAAAATTCAAATGACCAGAGGTAATTTGTTATCAAAGAATCTCATTTTCAAATGAAAAAATAAAATAAAATAAAATAGTTGGGGAATAAAATAATTCACCCCCACAGACAAATGACTACACCAAAACTATGCTGATACTGTGATACATATCTTGTGATTTGATAACAAACTCATTTGACAACCACCAAAATTTGATGTCCCAACTAACAACATATGAGACAAAAGATAGTTTGTTGGAGTGAAAAATTAAATTTCGAAAAACAACGAGGAACAAAAGGAAATTTGAATGATTGTGACGACTTACCTGAAGGGTCAGAGCACTGGTATGTTTCGTGACCAAAAAATTGGTCAGGTTGACAAAATATGCAAGTGACGAATTAAATAGCAGATACCAAATGATTTTGACATCATCTCTGGCAAGAGCCAATGTGATGCCAACCACATTTTCTTCCATTATAAGCGTTGCAGGAAGGAGGAAAACCACAGCCATTGGAGCCATGTAAAGTAGAAGGTTCATAGAATTCAGCTTCTCTCTGATATACAAGAAGGACGTCAATACTCACTTAAAAATATAACTTGAAAACCAAAGTACAGAGATAAATTGATCATTAATGAATTGATCAGGTGTTTCTTAATCCTTACCCTTCAGAAGAAAGCAAAATTCCTTGTAGCACTGATTTTAGGGCCCTAGCAGCTGTAGCAGCAACACATATGATAAATCCAAATAAATGAAAACTTGGTTCACCCTGTGACCAAATAGAGAAAGAAGAAACACATATCAGACGCCAGGGTATGTTATTTTCATTTAACCAATCAATGTCACTTGAAGAATATATCAGAGGAAAAAGATCTACCATTACTTAAATTGGACATTAAAAAATTAGGTAGCATGAACTGTCTCTCACCAAAAGATGAGTTTGAGTCAGCAATATCCTAAAGCACATAAATTCATTTTTTTTTAAATCATCAAACTGGTGACACCAAACAAGTCTAGTGAACACAGAATAATACAAGAGATGAACAAAACATTTCAAGCGGGCATCCGGAATCACATCTGAAACAAACCTAAACTACACAAACGACGATCATATAAAAGAACAACTAACAAAATAACAAAGCATTAGAATATTGAAATCCAGAAGCATTGAGCATATTCAACAATATCCAAGTGGCAACAACAGCAATTGAAAATTGAATCAAAATCACACACCTAAAAGTGAAAAGAAGAGAATAACAAGGGTGTTTGTGATATGTGACATACCCCACTGGCAATGATGACCCCAGTAACAACAGGAACAAGGGTGAGATAAGTGAGCCAAGCCTCCCTCTTGAAGGTCATAAGATAAGCAAAAACAGCAGTGAAGAAAGGCGTGGTGGCACCAATGGCTTGATTGAAAGACACAGGGAGGTAACGTAGTGATATGTTCCCAAACACAACAGAGACACAGAAAACAAGGCTGAGAGCAGAGATCTTGAAGAACTGCACCCTGGATCGAATGGTTTGCAAGGGCACCACCTTCAACCACGCTATTGCAACATAGCTGAACAAAGAACACGCTGTCATGTGACACATGGTGAGAAAGATCGGGTACTTGAACCCATAGTTGCTGAGCAAGTACTTGTTCAACAGAAGCACCCCAATGTTGGAAGAGTACCACGATGCCACCAACCCAAACGTGAAGAAACGGTTCGAACCCTTCATTCTCTCACCTTCAATTTGATCTCCGGAACCCTGTGATTTCAGAGAAAGACTACTTGGTTAAGGGTGAGGGATCTGGGCATTGGCGTGGCTATGCCCAAAGTGAAAAACAGGTTAACTTTGAGGGGGAAAATAATAAAGGGGTTGACTTTACAAGGACAAGCCATGGATTTTCAGATCCATGGCTTGGGGTCGGAGAAATTAAGCAACAGAAGGGGAAAGAGAGTGGTGGGTCACGTCGAATTAAGGGGAAAGGTCGTGTTTTTTTGAGGATGACAAAACAGAAAATGTGTGTGTTATGTCCCTGCCAGCTTCTGCAATGAGAACTACAGAAAATGGAACTAAGACGGAAAGAGGAAAGAAACAGGATTTAAAGATGCAGACCACAGGATGTAATAATATTAATGTTATATTTATTATTATTGTTATTATTATTCTATTGGTAAACCAATAAACCATAAACGATCGCCCTCATTTTCCTGAACTGTTTTATTTTTCAATTTTATTATACACCTTGCAGTTACTAGTACAGTGATCTGGGTTGAATTGCACCGTTTACTCGTTTCCTCTTGTAATTATGGTATGTTGTACGTTACAAGAAAAGTGTAAAGAATAGGAGTTAAAGTTGGGAATAAGTTTGATGATATTAGTTGATTGTAATGTTGTTTTTTTAATTAACTTGGCGTGATGGTGGAAAAAATTATCCTAATAGGATCAGTGTTTCCTTTCCTTGTTACCATTTTTTTGTTATTAAAAAATAAAATGACAGGCACTAGTTGTATAGTCAACAAGCTGGATGGAAAATTTCGAAAGGTTCTCCATGATGTTTGTATATAAGCTAAATAGGGTACAATAATAGGGTAAGTGTTACGGAATAAAAAGATGCAAGAATCAAACAAAAAAAAATTCTGAAAAAAGATAATAATTTCGTAAGAAACAAATCAAGGAAGAGAATCGTATTTTGGAACTTGAATAAACAAGAGAGTGCACGATCCATGATCCACCCACGATTTTGGACAACTGGACCGGTGAGTGTGCGTGACGAGTGGCGTTCAGTGGATTGGAATGGAAGAAAATTTATTAGAAGTGCAGAATTAGTCCAATTTAGGCGCAAAAATTGGACTAGTAATGTAGCATATAGCATATTATTTAATGCAGAACGCAACGCGCTAACCATGTTAGGCACAGAAAGTTGACCAAAAATAAGAAAATGCAAAAGCACGTAAGGTAACAAGGGCCGTCCAAACGCGGCCTCGTTTGTTATCTACGTTCTTTACTTTTGTGAAAACAAGAAACATGACTCACAAGGGGTGTGGCATGTGATGTGAGGCACGGTTTGTGAAGTAATCTCTCTCCTTCGTCCATGCAGAAAAAACAGGATCATGCAGGGAAGACCATGCTTGAAGTTGGTGGAGTCTAAAAGCCTTAATCAAATTTTGCTGTGGGAACTAACATCTTCAACTTGTTTGGTTTTGGTGGAAGCTAAAACAGTAGTAAGTGTGCACATTTGGATTTTTTATAGCGTTGGTTCTGTATCAAAATCCACCATCGACTTAAAAGTGAATCTATTTCAATGCTACAAGTTACTGTTTTCACGTTAAAACGTGATTTTATTAAGTTTGTAAACATGGACAATAGTTATGGATTTGCATCTACTTAAACGTTACTGATTGTAGTTTTTGTGTTAGATTCGAATCTGCTAGTTGATAAGTGGCATGCATTTATGGTAAGTCCCATCCTTAGTCTATGACATTGTACTGAGATTAGTAATTAGAGAGAACTAATGGAAGTGAAGAGAAGTGATGGTCCAATAAATGTATGTGATGCCTCAAAGTTCGAAGTTGTTTTCAGATCCTCTATTTGGATATAGAAGCATTTTTATTTTGTGGACCCTGGCATGTTTGCGATGCTTGCTGCAAATTGTAACTGAAATGTTGTTTTCTTCCTAAAATTGCCTTGTACAACTTCACTGTGTTGAGAAAAAAAAATTATAAAAAGAACCGTGTCCTTGCTAGATTTAAAGGTGACCATTGGGTTCATTCATATAGGATTTTGATACGTCTAGGATTGATTGGGTGCAGTGTGGGGACCAAGTGTAAAGAAAAAAAAATGGATGCAAAATGTGAGGACGAGAAATATTGGCTGAGTAGGATATTTTGGTTTTGGGGTAATTAATATGGGAAAGATGTTTCGGAGAAGAGCAATAGAGAATCCAATCCTTCATGGACCATATTTTAATGTCAGCCTTTGGGCCCATTTGGCCCGGTCTTGAACCCTTTTTTTTTATTCCCTTTGGTGAAATTAGTGAATGAATACTTCATGAATATATCATTGTAATCACAATTTACTAATTATCGTAAATTTGAGAGTTAGATTTTTAAAGAAATAATAAAATAAATATTTCACTTTTTTAGTTAAAATATTTATTTAATATTTGTAAAAATAAACAAAAAATTGATACACTAAGATTATATTAATTTATTATTTTATTTTAATTACCAATTTAAAAAATTAGCTTTCCATTTTTGAAAGAAAAAAATTCAGCTCCCGAAACATAGTTTTAGAATTTAAGATAATGAAAATATCAATCAACTCTACTAATTTTTTTTTTACGTGGAAAAGAAAACAAAATAGTAAACTCGCATATGATTGTGTGATACATTTATTTATTATTTCTTTGACACACTTGTGGTTCATGTATAATTTTCAATTATACACGTCTTATTTTGTATTAATGTCATGTAAAATTCATTTAACAAAAAATCGTGTTGTTAACGTTATATAATGCATTTTAAAAGCACCAATCCAACTCATCATTCCTTTGTGCATCCAAAAAAGACACAAAGCAACAATTCTTGCTGTATAAGTTGACGTAAGTTAATAACTGCATACTATATTACTATGATAACCCATAATAAAAATGATTAAATAAAGACTTAAGATTTTTAATCGAAATGAAAGTGTATTTAATTATATTTTAAGCATACGTGTGAATTTATGTTTGGCCCAAAGACTTTTCACGTTGGAGTTTAAGTTTTATAATATAAGATTAATTATATATTAAAAAGGAAAAAAAATAGAAATAATTTAGGGTATGAAAAGCTCGCAAACCTTTTGAGATGGCCAACCATGAGTGATAGGGATGGCTGCTCCTTCAGATACCTTAACAACAGCACTTCTATTCCCATATGAATTTGATGAAGCAAACAATGAAACCCTTTCGATCCTCCAACTGGGTAAGATCACTTTGTTTTTTGCAACATAGAGTTGCTTCCCCCTACCTGAAATTAACCCACCAAACTCATCAATTGACAGAAACCTAGTACATCTGATCATTTGACTTCGCTTGGTTCCTAGGAAAACACAAAGTAAAAGATAGTGGTGGGTGAATTTGGTAACATAGTAAACACGTGCCATTTATAGCTATTGCAGTTGCTGGAGCAGTAACCGCAATCTGAGCCATTGAAGAAGCAAGTCCACGAATCTAGCTAGCTGGAACAGAAGAGAGGAAGAGAATAATGGAGTGAGAAGACAGGGAAAGTTGAATTTCAGGTTTGAGAAGAGAGAAACAAACAAGAAAGTGAATTTGGGCAATGAATGAGTACCGATTCATTATAATCAAGGATGATGGCGATGTTTTCCTTGTTCAAAAAACGTATGGATAAATTAATTAGCACTTTTGCAGCAGACACAATTGCAGAAAAAACATAATAAAAAGTGTCATAAAAATTGATATTAACGAAAAAATGTGAATCTGTCTAAATTATCTCACAACATAAATAATTATATCGTAAATAAGTTAATAGAATTATTTATTTCATGAGAAATTTACGCAAAATGGAATAGTATTATTCTTATTATTAGACATAAAGACTAATTGTTCTGCAAGGATGGGGCAATTTCGCTCACAGGATTGTTGATATAACTACATTGGTAATTTCATATTAATAACCAATAATGTAGATATAAAATTAGGTAAGAAGTATATTGGGTTATAGTAATTAGAGGGGCCAATGGTTGATGTGTACAACTTTTGGGAATGAGATTTTCATGGAATCAAGTTGGCAGCAGAAGATTGGTCTATGAAGATTCATATGTGAAATTATTTCGCGAATAGAGATGAAGTTCCTTTAAGTGGGCCATCTCCTCAGATGGATATTCGAATCTAGCACTTCTTCACTCTTGGATCTTTCTGGATTTACCGTTTACTCCTCCCATGGTTTCAAAATTGTAGTTTAAATGAATACTTAGTTATGTTATTTGTGAAGACTTTTATTGTGATTTTTTTATTTATTTATCCCATATTTAAGATTTATGAAACATGGTAATTTGAGTCTTTATAAAATTATATGATATTTGATTCACATTATATATATGTCGACATATCAAAGCATTGTTAGGTCCAATGTTCTCCATGGAATTGAAGATGCAAGATATGGGTATTTTTTATTTTCCAATAAAAAGCAAACCAGTGGTTTAGCCAGGGTCAAAGTTTGGAATTGCAGAGTGTGGTGTGTTGCATCCCCAAACCCCAATCCCACCAAATCAAAAGATTATACAAATTATTTGATTACATTATTGTCTACCATCTTCAACAATCACTTTTGACATCTCAACAACACGAGTTAGTCAATGGGTCACATGTCAATTGTGTTGTGAGACTAGGAACGTGAATGTACAGGCGATATAATGTTAAAAAAAATTAACTTCTTTGGAATAAAAGAGATGTCACATTCATCGCTGGTTTAAAATAAACTGTTATATGAATATAATTAACTTTAAATCAACAATGATTATATATATAATTCATTATAATGGTATGATAAAATTTTACACCAAATAATAAACATGGTGCACTTTCAAATTTCAATTGTAATTAAGTATTGGGGTGAGAAAGACTTTGTTCATTCGTTATATTTTAAAATTTTTATGTAGGGAGCAGATCATTAGCTATGTGCTAGCAAAGTAAAACAAATCAAATTTCCCAGAGAAAAAGCTGTGGGGGGAGTGTAGAAGGTGACTGATTGAGTATATTTTGTTCACATAACATGCATCTAACGAAATCATCGTGTTAAGTTTGCAAATTAATGAGTCAAATATTTTGATTTTGCTGATTGTTCTCAGCAATTTGTTCGTTAATTTTGTTACTAATGAAGTTTCAAGAAATTATTTGGACCGCCAACTAAGCTTCTTTTATTAAGATGTTTGTATTGTTAATAATAAATAAAGAAATATAGAATTGCAATTTGAAATTATATGTATATCTATGTTGATGATGGACTACCTGCCATTACAAAGGGCCAATAGATGATAGTGAATGTTACATAAGCCAAAGTTCACATAATTAAACAAAATACGTAATTATAAAGATTGGAGTACCAAACCTCAGTTCATTGACTTGAATGATTACTGAATTGAGAAATTTCCAAACAAAATTGTTTATTCCTTTGTATTATAGCATGCATGGAATCACCAATATTGTGGCATAGTTTCATATAATAAGGGCATTGCACATTAGTCTTGGGCTTATTTTTTGCATAGTGGAGCCCAAACTACTGAGGGTTTATAATTGGGCTTAGTGATCCAACACAAATAGAGGCATTTTTATAGCCCAGGTAACAGGGCTTTCCTAAAGAAGCAGAAAAACGGTGCGTTTTGGTCAGATTTGGTTCTCCTTCCTCGCATGGTTCGCGCATTGGACACGAGCATGGTCTCTCTCTGATAGTGTTTCATCACTCCGTTCCGTTATCAGGTTCTGGTTGTTGCATTCTTTGTCAGATCTAGGATTCCGTATCATTCTCATTAGTCTATTTTGCTGCATTGTCTGAATCTTGTTATGTTTCTGCTATTCGAATATCATTCCTTTTTTCACTTACGATCATCATTTACTAATGTCTGTGCCTGATTCTGTTAATTTTTTCAACAATGTTGTGAAGTTATTTGTAGATTCTATGTTAAAATTTAATATTTTGTTTGTTTTATTTGAAATTTGTTTTATGAATTTTTAGATGGTGCAGTGCATCCATATTTGTGGAAATTTAATAATTTTACAGTATATGATTTTGAGGTGCTCCATGAGATTGTAAATTTGGTAATAAGTATCTTCAGTTCAGTTCCCTGGTAATGGAAGCATCCTATGTATTTGTTCTTGTTTGCAATGGATGAGTATGTGATAGGCATAGGGTTGGATTTGTTTGCAATGCAGGGAAATGGGTTTGTGGACTTTACTTGAGGGGTTTCTGCTTCTTGCAAATGCGTTTGCAATATTGAATGAGGATCGGTTTCTTGCACCAAGAGGATGGGGCTTCTCAGATTTCTCAGGTGGAAGGACAAAGTCATTCAAAGGGCAGCTTATAGGTCTCATTTATGCAACTCAGTACCTCAGAGTTCCTCTCATACTTCTCAATTCCATCTGCATTTTTGTCAAGTTGGTCTCTGGATGATGCCTCTCAAGGTCAGATCTCTATTTTATTTGTTTTATACATGGTTATTCATTATATATTCTTTTCGAAATAAAAAAATAAAAAATTCGAACAAACATATGCTGTTATGGTGTTATCAGAGTGCCTTGAACCTTAATATGTTCAAATGATGAAGAAAATACATGAAAAGGGACTTTTTTTTTCAAAGCTGAAATCTTTTTTTTTCCTTGAAAGTGATGTTTTAGAGCCATTCTTATATATATTTTTCTGGCATCATACTACAGCCTCATACGCTATGTATTGACTTTATACACATGACATATATACATGAGCTGGATTTAGTTCATGATTCTTGTGACGTTCTGGTTGTTATACACTTATACATCAGTATGAAATAAGTGCTGAATTTTGGTTTGGTTTGGAATCATGGTATCTGAAGTTCGTGAGTTGGAATCAGCCAACATTGATAATTAGGAAACTAACGATGTAGTTCAACGAAATCAAGCTAGAGTAGCAAGTAAACGTGTATCTACCTATCTCTATCTCTTCTCTACCTTTCTGTTACAAAATTGAGAGTATTTAATTTATTTTCTTATTTAGGGAAAGGAAATGACAATAGCATGGTCACATACATTAGATTTGTTTCTTGAATATTTTTATTTTTTTACCGACATCTGTTTCTTTTACATACAGATTCTGGCGTTTTTGTCTGATGATTTCAGGAAGGTCTTTAAGATAGGCAAGTTTGGCAAATCGCATTGTAGGAATATCAGTTGAAGTATTTGTCGAGTTGTTTTTTTTAGATATCATTTATCGGCACAAAATAGTGTTCCGTACAATAGTAACATACATAGTCTAAAATGAGGATATTATTCGGTGTTGTATTTGATTAATTGAATTGAATATTGACCATCATTTCTCATTTTGTTTTAAGTTGCTTCTTGCTTACTTTACTTGATCATACTGATGCTGCTAGGGTTATTCCTACGACTATGATATGGTCAATTTCTTAACTAGCGCCAAGTATGTGTATACGGTTTCAAGTCATCAATATTGACCATCTGTGCAAGTTCTATTCAACAAAAGAGGACACATTAAGATAAAAAATACAACTAAGCACTTATTCAATAAGCTCTTTATAAATGAGAACTAATGACATAAAAATTTACTAAAACAAATTAAAGAGTTTGAGACACAAACTATTTTCACAAGCTCCTCATAAGCTATTTCTAACCTTCCCCAAATACATATTAATACAATCTTCTGCTAGAAAACCTGCTCTTTATTTTTGGTTATTACAATGAAAAACATAAGCACTAAACATATAATGTTACAATTGCTGAAAAAATCGAATGAATCTAATCACAAGTCAGCAAAAACATGGTATGTTTTGGAGTCTACGGCTATGAGCCGTAAGGCTGAAACTGTTGCTGCAAAAGACAGCATGCCAAAGAAACAAATGTTGAGCCAGTGCCAGGACTTTTGTAAGAATGTCAGTTTTTCCTTCTTTGCCATAAGGTACATGTGATTTGCAAGAATAAATGTAAGGGGAAATGTGCTCATAGCCCCTGTGAGGCTCATGAAATCTCCAAGGAATGGCAGGAAGGCGGACACAAATGTATTGAAGGCCAGGTAACCACCTCTTACCACGATTCGAAACGACAAGTTTCTAATATTCAGTGCGCTTCCTTTGATCCCATATTTAGTATCCAAAAACTCGTACATTGGACTCGCAAATATCTAATAGAAGCAAAACAAAGATTACTATTAAGCCAGGGAAATAATTTATTTAATACGTTTAAGAGTAGCAAATATTCTAGTTTAGATGTATATACATGCAATGCAATGACTGATTGAAGAAAAGCTGTAATGTTGGCCAAGGCCTTCACCCAGACTGGACCATTTACACTATTCAGTAAATACACAGCTGTGGAAGATCCATAAGCCCAGTATCCTATAAAGGCAATCAGGTACAATGGTAGAACCCCAAGGGTGAACTGAAAGTACAGGGCTTTCATCATGTTCTTCACAACTGGCTGCTTAATCGTTGCCTGCAAGTTATACAACCAAATAAACTCAATTTCTAGAGCACATAATGAAACAAAAGAGAATTATATATTAACTAAAAACACAAAGTACGAAAATTTACAAGTTCTGTGTTACCTGTATCTCAGGAAGCATGCCAGTATTATATGCGAACACAAGATTGGCACACGCTCCAATTGTTGAAAATACTTTACTTGCACCACTTCCCGGAATGCTGTAATCTCGAGCTGGTGAATGTAGTCCTGATGGTATTGTTAGTTAGTTCACATCTTAAACCATACGTATTAAACTTTACAAAGCAAGCATAGAAAACCATAATGCAGGTCAATTTTTAAGAATAGATGTCTATTTCATATGACAAATTTGACAACTTCAATTATTATATTTTTTATATTCATTTTTTATCATCCCTTTTTTCTATATTCACCTCGCTTTCTTCAACTTTTGATTTTTAGACACTCAAACAGAGTCAACACCCATTTAGCACCTCTCATCTTACTTTCAATCTCTTTTTATCACATCTATCATTTCTCTTTCTTCTATTTCTCTCTTTCATGGGTTTAGACACCCCAAGGGATATCTTCAAATTACTTTCTTCCTTCCTTTCCTCTTACATTATCCATCACATTTTTTATTTTCCCACTTCGCCTATTTCACACCAAATGGGTGTGAAATGATCATTTTCCTTGATTACATCCCCATGACACTCCTCTTACAGAACTGGTGATAATTGATAAAATTGTTAACAAGTTATTGTATGATTAATTTGCAAGAACGGACGCAAGACACGAGCTATTACCATCTTTAAGCGACAGCACAAATGCTATAATAATATATACTAAGCTGAAAACTGTTGAAAATCCCAGCCAAACTCCAAGAGCTGAGAGGTGAGGAATACAAATGGCAAACATTGCACAGACAACTCCACCTATGGCTATACAATATGGAAGCTTCAGCATTCCATCATCCCTAAACAGAACATACGTAGCCTGCACAGCATAACAACGAAGGGAACAATGATTCAGAAAAAAAAATAATCTTAAAGAATCTGTAATGATCAATGGCACAGCACGAAGCAAAAACAGAAAAGGGAACAGCTAGTAAAGTTATACTTTGTTCTCAAATCTCTCTTACTTTCAAGGCTGAACCGGCCAGAATGATGTAACCAGTATTTATCATGAAAAGATTGACATACTGCATACCCCAGGTGAGAGAATACGCTTTCTTACCTGCAATGAGAATGAAATGAACATAAGCGGCACTCATCAAAATAACATGACAGAACAGAACATAGGGGAAACTAGCCAGTTGTTTTTCCTCTTTGTGCATTGTTATCCTTATTCCTTACCATATATAGCTCCTGCAAGATCCCTATATCTAATGCGCCTTGTCCCTCCATATTCATGGAGTTTAGCAATTAGAGAATTTGCATAGAGTGATGCTACAGTAGCAAGAATTAGACCAATCACACCCCCAATCCAACCCAGGGGAACCATGACTGTCCCGGGATATCCAAGCACATAGGCGCTGTTTATTCCGGTGGTAAGCACAAAAGCCACTTGAAACCATGAATCTGCTCACATACACACACAAACACAAACAAGGGGAAAAATCCAACAATAAATTGTCTTCAATAGCAGATAATTCCTACAGAAAATCTTGATAGTTTTCCATTTCACTAAACTCCAATGTTAATTAATACCACATGCGCCACTTATTGAGTTACAAATCATACACCTCTCGGCTTCATTCTAAATTTCCAACATCAAGCACAATTCAACTATAATAAAAACAAAATCAATACTAAACGATGAATTGAACTCAGACAAGCGATGGTTGAGCAAAGTCAAAATTGAGACAAAAATCTAAACTACTAAAGTGCAAGTCGAAACATTGACTCCGATGTAGACAACGTAAATACAAAAGGGTAGTTCTAAAAACCGTAGGTTTTTCCAAAAACAATAGTATTTGTCAAAAACCACAATTTGAGGTTGTTCCAAAAACATTGGAAATATCGAAAAAATTGCATGTGCGATGAGAATGAGTGAATGCCACATAGCATTACGAACCACTACTAATCTGATGTGCGGTGTCTGGGAGTTCAGCGTCCCCGGCATCGTGGTCATAGTGCTTATTTGAGTTGAGTTCAATGTCTCCTCTACCCATTGTTGAATATTGTGACACGAGCGAGCACCGTGACGCTAAGCTTCTCCTACACCAAAACTAGCCTAGCGCGAAAAACAGGTACCAACACCCTTCTTTTATATCTTCACGATAACTCTCTCCTCTTGGCTATTCAAACCCAATAAACAATAACCAGCCAATCATTTTTCCTTTTATAGAAAATTTGGTAATTACTAAATACCAATTTCTCTTTTTTCTCACTATACTTAGTATTTCATACCATTTTAACCTTCTACTCAGGTTTATGCTACTATACTTCTCGTAAAATCAGATTCTGTCGTATTACTTCACTCTCTTCAGAAAAGGTATTTATGATCAATTTTATTACTATTATATGTTTAATTAATTTTATTTTTCTCTTATTTTTAATGGTTGTTATGTTATTTGTTAATTTATCAATGCAAGAGAAATTATATGTGAAAAAAAAAAACCCTTTCTATGAGTATTTTGAATTTTAAATAAACTTTATAAATGATAATAAATTAAATAGAATTTAATGAGAATGAAATTATTTTGAAAATAAGAATTTTAATTTATAATATTTAGGTTTTAATGTGACGAACAAAACGAAGAGCAAAAACAATATATATATTATAAACACTTGAATCATTTTTGGTATTTTGTTTTGTCTTGCGGTGCCGACGTGCATTAATGAGGGGAGAGAGAACACGTACTCACGTAGCCATCAAATAGAACCTGTGTTCCAAAATACGTTCAGTTCAGTGTGTGGACGCTTCTGGGACCCATCCACCACCACTAGCCGTCATCTTTGTTCTTGGTATGCATCCATGCACCAAATTTTATCTTTTCTCAATTTAATTTTTGTTTAAACTTTTAAGATGCTTGCTAAGTAAATTCTAGACAATATTTTATATTTTAAAAAATTAATTATTTATTGTATTTTTTATATATTTTATGAATTAAATAAAATTTATATATTTTTAAAATAAATTATTAACTTATTTATTTATTATATATATTTAATATAAAATTAACTGTAATAATTATTTTAAGTGTAAAAATATATAAAATATCTTTTTAATTTATAAGATTCTGTAAAAATTATCAATTTTTAATAATTAAATTTTTATATAAGAAACTATCTTTTAAGTTTTAATAAATTATGATTTCTTTTGTGATGAATTTAAATTGAATTAAAATTATATAAAAATAAGTCTAGTTTATAAAATTATAAGGATGCAAAAGACATTAACTTATTATAACTTAATTTATTTCTATTTCTAATTTAATGTCACTCCTCGTTCGTCCATCAAAAGGACATTCTTTTATAAATAAATAATCTAACAAACGTTGAGTACATCTTAATTTAAAGTATTTAAAAAATATATTTATTTTAATAAGACTATAAGTTTTATAGAAATTTATTAATTTACATAATTTATTTTTACAACAGAGTAAGGTTTTCTTGTTCCGAAAACGTGTATTTTTTATTTTTTTTCATTGATGTTATAATCCTACCAAAAATATCCAATAGGTCGTTCTCATGAATTGCTAACACATTAAACCGTTATAGTCATATCTAGCAACTTGTTTTGTGATGACCACACTGTACACATTTTTTTTAAGAGAAATAAATGTTTATATATTTACTCTCATCTAAATTTGGATAAGTTGTATTTAAGTGTTCTTTTAAAATAAAATAGGTATAAAATAAGAAAGTAAATTTTTTATTAATTTAAATTTAATTATAACAAAATAATAATATTTTGTTGAGTTAATAATAGTAAAATTTTATTAAAAAGAAAGATATTTATTGTATTCTTATAATTTTAATATAATAAATATATACTTTTTTATAAAAAAAATTATTTATAAATATTTAAACTCAATTCTTAGAGTTGAGATAGGATTGAATTTAATAAAATATTATTTTATTTTATATTTTTATTTAAATAAATTAAATTTAGAGAGATGAATAGCTTTCTGATTTTCAACGAGCACTTTTTTTGCTCCATTGGACGGTGAGCCTTCATTTGGTTCAGAATAAAAAGAACGTAAAGTATTATACTTATTGGCTCGAAAAAGTTGGAGAATTTTAGGAGAACAAATTGATCGTACAATTCAAAATGTTTTGCCAAAAGAATTGTGCGGTGCTAATCAGCACTACCATTCTATCTCTCTTTTTCGCTTTTCATTCCCTTTCCTTTGTTATTATCTCTTCGCATGAGCTTCTTTTCTGATTAAATTGAAAAGAATCAATGATTAATGCAAATTTTCGTACGAAAATAGTTATATTTTTATGTGGTTTAAGTGAAACGGGATTATTTGACTAAAGTCGTGATCGAGAATCCACTAACTTTATTTTCAAGTGCTTGATTGATCTTTGATGGTGGCCGTTGCCCAAATAATTCCAAACGTAGAATTGGCTATCTATTCCTATGGCTTATGATCAAAGGACTATGGCTTATACTCAATTTTTTTTTCAGTTTTGAATCTTCAAAATGTGAGATTTTGATATTTCAAGGGTTAATAAAATAAAATTTAATATTTGGGGTTATCCTTTTTAATAATATGTTTTTATTATTATTAAGAGAAATTAGTAGCATGTAATTTTAATGAATTATTTATTCTAAATAATAAGTGATTAATTTATATTTGAATAATTAGTTTTATCTCTTGATGGGATGGCTATATAACCACTTGAAACTAAAGATGCCTTGCTTTTAAACATTAAATCCTTTTTCTTTTGGATTTTCTGTGTATGAAAATGTTATAATTTTGAGGTGGAAAAGATTTTTAGCGAAGTGACCGACAAATATCTTTAAAGAGAGTGATATGATTACGCAGTCAAAAGATTGGTTATCATTTTGCCAATATTGATATGATAATTGATATATTGCTTCAGTTTTAAGCTTCAAGCATGTTGACTCTCTTTAAATAAAGAATGCAAAACAAACACATGCCTTTTCAAAATAAATAAGTTTGTAGAGCAATATCACATCCAAATTATTGGTTTTATGAAATGTATGTGAAAACGATTAATTGTGAATATAAAGACATGAATTTTTTTAGATGAAACGAGAGTGACATAATTTGCAATACGAAACTTTGATAAGATAGCCTGTTTAATATTACAGGGGAAAGACATGATTTTAAAAAGGTTAATAGGAATGGAGTAGTGGTGTTAACCTTTTCATACCAATCATGGAGCAGTCTCCCTTAGGTAGCTTTTTTTCTTGTTGAAAGACCTTTTTAAGATGCTTTTCAACATCAACTGTATCAATGAAGATAACCAAAGAATAATTGCTGATTATCTTTGTTACGAAAACTTGGGTGGAAGAATGCAATTGTGTTTTGGGCACAAACCTTTCGTGTGAAAAACTTATATCTTTTCATATGGGTAGTGCTGGTTTCAAATTCAAAGGCAAGAATGTGATTATGTTGGGTTACAAACCTGTCGTGTGGAACAATCACTTCTTCAAGTAACGTTGTAGATTTAAAGGCATTCAGAATGCTCTTGAAATTACCACAAACTTATAGTAATTAATATGGATGTCGGAATGTTATATCAACCCACATCTTCATAAAACCAAGTACTTTAATCAGTAAAATTCTAATTTAATCTTTCAAGTTTTATGAATTAAATCTTTCATTTATTAGATTTTTATTTTCTAAATTAATATATACATCAATTTTTATTATTTTTCTTTGCTTCTTTGTCCAACACAATAGTTTAATTAATTCTCAAATACCACTTGTTATTCGATGGATCGGATTTTTCATAATATCAACTCACATAGAAAGATTTTTTTTGGGTAGGGGGAGGAGTGTTAGGTAAGAATTCATATTTTATGTAATAAAAAATGGTGCATTTAGTATACCATCAGTAAATCAATGCTATTAGATAAAGATTGAAAATTTTATATTTTAATTTTTAAAGAAAGGTTTAGGTATTTTATTTATTAACTAATGATGTGATTAACTTTTTTTAATGCACGATCAATCTGCATTTCAGTTAAGAATTTAACTTTTTTTCAAACGAGAAGTTGTGTTTTAAAAAATAAAATATAATTATACCTCTCAATTAGAATATTAATAATTTTATAATTTATTAGTATGTATATATATATATATATATACACTATAATTTTTCAATAATTTATTAATTAATAATTGTTCGTTCTTATTGGTGAAAGTAATGACTAATTAGTAAGGATTAAAAATCTCTTGTTAATCTTCACCTCTCGTTTCTTAAGGGCAAGTCGGTTTTCATACATTTGTATAAACTTAGTTATATTAATATATATATATTTACATTAATTTAGTGCAATGACTAATGATGCACATACATTAGGTACTGTAAACATTCTTGTTATTAATAAATTAGTACATGTTTATTTAATAAACAGTGCTCCATTCGTGTTAAAAATATTTACTGTTTAAATTTTATGCATAAATTTAAGAAACTCATCAAATAATTTAATTTTAGGAAAATATAACTTTGAATGTATTGTTTTCATTCTATTAAAATTCTCTTTTTTTTTATCACTTAGTAAAGATATCAAAAAATAAAGATTAAATTGAAATAAAAATTACTATTTTCCCCTTAAAGTGATGAATAATATAAAACAAAATATCTTCTCTAAAATGATTAACATTTTACAACAATTGATATTAATAGTTTACTAATTTAATCTGCTAAAAATTTATACAAGGATATTTACAGAAAATTATATGCTTCTCCCGTTCCAAAATAATTGTGATTTTTATATAAGGGTTGGAAAAAGTATTAATTACTCTTCATTTTAGAAAAATAAAATAACAACTAGCATAAAACAAATTAAAACTTCTAAACTGACAATTATTTGAGAACAATAGAACTATTCTTATTAGATATACAATTATTCACTCGCTCCATGTCAAACAAATTATCATTTTTATATAAAAATTAAGAAATTCGTTAAATACTCTTAATTTTAAAGAAATATAAGTTCGTTCTGACTATATTATCACATAACTCTATTAATGATCTCTCATCTAAGGATAAGGGTAAAATTTTCAACAAAACAAAAAGAAAGAACTGGAACTTTTTTAGAATTAACAATTTTTGTTCTTGTTTGGTTGTAACAAACAATTTGAAACAACATAAAACCTTTTTGGTCAAAAACAAAATAAACTTGGACAGCAACAATTATAGTTTTTGGTTCGTGGTGCGTAAACACCAAAAAGAGATGTTCAAGAATCACTGGCCCAAATTATAGACCCAAATGTTGTCTGGTAATTGAAATTTTGACAAAATGTTGTAATGGATTTTCCGGACCAAAAACAAAAGAACCATATTTTGTAAATTATTAGGGGTTTCTGTTTTAGTTTTTAATTTTTAAAATTATATTTAAACAATTTTAAAAAATATTTTAAAAAATGAAAATAAAACTCATATTAACAAAAAAAAATTGAATTTTTTTACTTTTAATAAAAAAAAAACTGTTTTTAAAAATGGAAAACAAAAGGTACCTAACATGTTTAGATTGACGTCAAATTCACTCAAACACGAATTCATTTAAATGCTATACATTATATCTTTCACTTGATTTTATGAGCTTTCTAAACATGAACTCCATGGAAGACATAAGAAAGAAACCATGCAAGTCAAGCAAATAGCGATGAGGTTTCTGTATGACAACAAATTTCCGAAAAATAGAGCAAACTCTCACAATAGAAAGCTCATAAACTGAAGCAAAAGTAAATTGCCCCTTAAATGGATGGAAGAAGCTTGCAAACAGTGTGGAAACTTTATGTCCTTCGTGTATTGGAAGACCTAAACCCACAAAATGTAATCCAATCCTTTTGTTTGAAAGACTTGAAGTTGAGAGGATTAATGATAAAAAAAACTGTAAAATAGCTTAAAGTGTTATTCTATCTAACAATCATTCTTGTGTTATGTCAAATTTCTTTTGTGTTGATGTCTAGCGTTTTTCTCACCTCAATTTTCATATATATATATATATATATAATTCTTAAGAAGAACGTGGATAAAATAAGAATAGGAACATTGTCCTGCACAAATGATCATGTCAATTCTTTACAACTGATGAGTGGGATTCACATTGACAGATACTTTTCTAGTAAATTGATTTAGGATTCCAATTGCTTGAAAGCGATGCAACATTAACATGCACAAAACTTTCAAGGAAAGAAAACTACGAAGATAGATATGAATGATTCCAACGCAGCTGGATGCACTTCTCAAGATTGAGGTCATTCATCATGTTACCACATGATTACATTGTGCATCCAAATAAAAGCAGATGCTGTATTATGGGAATGTATTTTTTCATTTGTGGAACATGATCTAAATTCCATTCTCACCACATGTGCAACCTGTCCTATTGGGTAACTAGATCTCTTGGCATGAATCAAAGAACATGGGAGTTTGGAGGGACCAAGGGATATATAGGATTTCAAGGAAGATAGAGGCTATTTCCTAATTCCCATTATGTAAGCCATAATGTTAGGGGGGAATACAACATCCCTTACTTTAATTTGTTGGAGGATATCACATCCCCTTCCACCTAACTAGGAAATACCACATTCACGGAACATCTTAGGCTTCTTTACAAAAAATCTCTCTTACACTCTCATTCTCATAACCTTTACCATTCCCCAATACAAGTATTTATCAGTAACCTTCCTATTTTTCTATTACAATCAAATCTCTGATATATCTTCTAAATTTCTCACAAATATTTTATATATCCTTCTCATTTACAATGAGAACCTACCCTTAACAATATTTAACAAAATTTCGCTCAAGTCCAAAACATAATGAAGGAGTAAACAAGTATAAGTAGCACATTATCATAGCGCAGGTGCAACTTTGCAAATGCAAGCATGGCCATTTTATATTCTACAAGGAATCACATATTACAAAATTTGAAAAGTGCAAAAAAAGATCGACAAGATTCAAATCAAAGTGCTCCCAAGCTGGATGAGCAAATATGTTACATAGTCAATTTCAAATAAATTTACAGAATGATAATCTCGTACAAAAGTGTTCTCCACATCACATACATACCCAACAACAACAACAAAACAACATCATCTAAGAAAATCTATTAACAACATCACCTATGCTCTAACTTTCATCATCACCAGCATTCTTCTCAACAGCCACATCAATCCTTTCGTACCTGACAGGATGGCCAGGGATTTTCACAAGAGACTCTTCTTCACGCCTTTGGAAAAATATCACCCACATAAACAACACCATAAACGTGACCAAAGCAACACACCCGGTTCCAAAAATCACCCTAGCAAGAACTGTTAAGGTACAAAACTTGTTCTTCTCATCATTAACACCATGATCAGAGAAATTTCTAGGATCCGCAGGTAGAGAATGCAAAGAACTTGAAATCTTCCCTAAACTAAACTTCCAAGAATAAACACTAACAACCTGCACCGAATTGGCACCATTGGAAGAGCTTATACCCACAAACACAGTATTCCTACCCCATATCTCAAACAAATCAATGGAATGAGAAACAATAGGAAGAGAAGATCTTGGTTCTCCCCATTTGCTTAACCTAACTTCCAACACCTTAGAACGACCCTCGTAATCAACCCAAGCATTCAACTTTTCTCCACTGTTGAGAACCAAATTCACAGAAGAAACATTCGCAACGGCCACAGACACGAGGCTTCCCACATCAATGCCAACGTGATTCGCATTCACATCACCCACATTGTCATCCTTCGACGTATCGAACTCGACGGCGACGTACTTGCTATCGAGAGAGACCCCGAAGGAGTCGTTCCCGCGAAACGCGCCGGAGAAATCGCCGGGAACGAGGACGAGGATGAGGCCATCGCCGGCGGCGGGGGAAACGGAGAAGGAGAAGTGAGTGGAGAAGGAAGTGTGGTGGGAGAAAGGGAAAGACTTGCGGCGGAGGAGGAGGCCGGAGGAGGAAGGCGAAGGGCGCGTGAGAGCCACGCGGGTGGTGCCGTCGGAGACAATAGCGTGGGCATCTCCGAAGAGGTTGATGTCGGGGTCGAAAATATGGGATGAAGAAGAGGTTTGAACGAGGAGGATTAGGGAAGAAAAGACGAAGAGGGAGAATGCAAGCATCCCGCTACGTTTGGATGGAACGAAAGCTCTTTCTCTTTGTTGAATCCTCATTCCTCCACTCCTATTCCTATGTTACTTGTTTTGTTTTTCGTTTGAACCGCTCAAAATCTTCGTGTTTTTCTTTCTAAGCTGCTGCTAATGTCTACCGCTCAATCAATCATTTTATTTTTTTTCGATTTAAATATTGTATTATAATGCGTTGTTGATATGGTGCAAGCAAAAATGTGGATTTTTAAGGGAAAAAATAGAGTGGAGAGAGAGACTTAGTTAAGAACAAGAATAGCTATTTTTATTGAAATAATTGGATTAAGAGCTGGCTTCCAATGGATTTTAGATAAGATGGCTTTACTGTACTAACATGAAACAGTATTTGACTTTTTTGCATTGCTCGTGTGTATGCGTGTGCAAAGTGCAGGAATAGATTTAGATTAGGCTTAGCTGTTTCTAATTTCCACCATTTGGGCCTTTTCGCTTGTTGTCATGGTCAGGTGTGCAAAATGTCCAATGCAATTGATAGTCTTTTGCTGTTGTCAAGATCAATAGGGACAAATCCAACAGAGTTTAGTCATAATTGGATTGTGGTCTGTCATCTAACATGGACCTTCTCTCAGAATCACAATCTTCTTACTAATTGTAAAATTTCCCTCTTGAGGATTTCAATAGGTCATAGTTGGGTTGGGCCCAACATAACATTGAAGCCTGGTTGGTCCAACTACAAGCCTTGGACACGATATTCAATGGCTCCTATATCTAACGGAACTTTGGTCCGAAAACAAAAAAGTGTGTTGTATTACCTTTAAAATTTTTGTATGGGTACTGTAATTAAAAAAATTTATATTAATAAAAAAACATATATTAAGTTAAAATAATTATTATATATAATTTATTTAACATTATATTATTTATATTATTTGTTATATAATCTTATTATTATTATTATATATATATATATATATATTATATTATATTTTTTATCTTATGTTTCTATTATTTTTTTATAAATTTTTAGTTTTGAGTAAAATATAATTTATATTTAAATAATTTTTATTTATTATAAATAAAAATATTTATAAATAATATATTAATTTAATAATTAAATATTAATAATAATAAAATTAAAAATATAAAAAATATATTAATATAATATTATTATTTTATTTTTAAATTTTAATTTATTTAGTTTTGACTTAAATACTCTTTAACTTATTTAAATGTAACAAATATAATAATTTATTATTAAATAAATTTATTATTTAAACACATGTTTAAATATTACTAATTAAGAATTTTTATGTACGTTATCTTGAAAAAATTTTATAGCTACCGTAGAATTTACCAAACAAAAAAGTGTAGGCTAAGTGCAAAGATGAAATTTCACTAGCTGAATTTGGGCATGCCCATTTTCTGTTTTAGTGATTATCGGAAAATCTATTGGAACTAGTACCTAGAGAGAATTGAAATTGATAATTTAATCCGTTTCTGTATTAATTTATTTTGATATAAATAATTCTTTAAAAAAATTTTGCTGAAAAGAATAGTAAATAAACCCTTATTATATTCTTTAGATTGCCACCATTTTAATGATTTTGGTTTATATTTTTACAAAATTAAAAAAATTTATAAAAAAATAAATAAAATAAATTACTATTAATATTGCTAAGGACTATAGTAATGATGATGTAAAGTTAATGACTATATCGTGATAGTTAAGATGTCAAATATTAGAATAGAGTTATATTTAAAAAAAGTTTTCTTTTATGTCTCAGACATGTAATAAGGACTCAGAAGATTGAAACCCTACCACATAAACGCGATCCCCGGTAACAGCAATTTAAGATTCAAGGTACACCGTGTTTTTACTATTCTATTGCTTTACTTGTATTGAGTGTTTTCCAACTTTTTGATTGTGTAATACTTACACTTCAATCCGTTTTCCTTAGAGACTTTAATTATCTTATCATCTTTCTTGTTACATTTAATATTCTAAACCTATTCTAACATCAGGTTAACTCTCAGCAGTCAGCAGGTAGTTTTTGGTGCTTGTTATAAGCTATAGTGCAAGATTGTGAAATAAAGATTCAAAACATTCTCAGTAACATTAAGGTTTGCTTTAAACTCTTTCTCAAGTGTAATTCTTTCTTTTAACATTATCCACCCAACAAAAGAAGAGCACAATAACTTGGACTATTTGGTATAACTTAAAAGAGGCTTCAATTATGACGTACTTCCCCCACTATATATATAGTCCTCCCACCTTGCTTAACCAACACATAACGCCAATATTGATATATACTATATAGTACTGCCATCCCACTAATGGGCAATGGCATTGCCATGGTTGCTCAATCACTCATGCAGTGTAGTGTAGTGCACAGGAGATGGACCACGCTACACTAGCTAGTAGTAGCTAGCTACCATTACCATGCCGTTACCCATATGCAACTTTGGCACACAACCCTATATGCTAGCTATCAGCCAATGTCACGCTTGACACTGCCCTGTTTATGCACCTGTAATGTGTATGGTGGAACTGAAACCTAGCTGACTATGTCTCATCACTCGTTTGCATCACACATATTATGCCATTTTAATTAATTATATATGACTAAATAGTGAATCCGTAGAGGCATTCATTGTTTTTTTCTGCCCCAAAACTAGGGTGCATTACTTCCTTACAATTATGCGTGGGGCTCCCACATCAGATTGTTCTATGCTTCCACACAAGATGGTCACTATATAACTGTACTCTTCAATCATGGAGTCTGAATATTATCAATATAAATATTACGAAAAGGTACTGCTTACGGTCAAATTCGCTGTTTCATTACAGGGCATTCCATGTAAATTTGTGCTTCAGCTTCTAATTCATGCATCTTTATCACCTTAAGCTTTGTGCAAGCGGTGTTGAAACTCCATGAAATCAGGATTTTGGTTTGGTTTATACGAAGTTACTACAACAACTACAGCACGTAACTATGACATCAATTACATCATATATATATATATATAGTTAACGTCGACATGAAATAACATATGAACTATTAAATGACAATTGACATGTATAAAAATAATTTGTCTTGTAAATTATAAACCTTAAATAGCTGTATGTTGTTTTTATTCTTCTTGCGATAATAAAACTTTTTTTGTTGGATGGAGGGAAGTCTCTAACTCCATTTTATAATAGTTACAAATTTTATTTACATGTACTATGCTATGAATAATTATAATTGAAGTATTATTAAACATTTTTTTGAATTAAAGGTACTGTTCTTTTTAAAAAATATTGCTGTTGGGCATACCGTACACACGACATTTCTAATCGACCGATATCTTATGAAAATAATGATATTTATACAGTACTTTTTTAAATTATCTTTTTATTTTATTTTTATTGCATTATATTATTTATTACATTATTCACTTATTTATTTATTTTTATATCTCCAACCTTTTCACTCCAAAAATAGGTACATAAGAAGATTATCCATCTTATTTTAATCGGCACATCCCCCCCCCCCTTTTCTAATGATAATTAAAACAAAGTTTTATCACTTTTTTTTAATTATATTTTTAAATTTTTTAGCTTGGACGTTAGACTCATTAAAAAATGCACATTATATATAATGGCAAAAAATAACATTACATGTAAAGATTGTGCTGTTCTCTAACTATATATGTTCAAGAAGGAATAATAGCCTCTCACGGGTCTGTGTCTGTTGTACCTGACTCCCTCTTATCTTAAGCCTTTGTCTTAATTACTTCGTTTTCTTGTCATAATATTATAGTTGTAACCATTTTGGTTATAGCTTTCTTTCAAGTTCAACCAGTACTTATGCAAAACATCTTTAAGAACTATGTTGCCTTCTTGAAAAAAAAAATAAATTTGCATCTTAAATTTTTAGAAGATGTATTGGTTCAGAATTTCATATAATTTAAAAAAAAATTTAAAGTAAAAAGGTTTGTTAGTATTTAATCAGGATTTTATGTCACTTAAAAAAATTTAGTGGTATTCAATTTAAATTTTTAAGATTTTTTAAAGAGTCCATTAAAATTCATTAGTATTCATTTGAGACTTTTTTATAACTTAAAAATAATTTATTAGTATTAAAAAATATAAGAATTTTAAAAGATTGTTGTATTAAAGAAATTTGGAAGGACTTTTCAATGATATTTGTAAATACTAAATTCATAAAACAATCTCATCCAAACTCATCGAATTTTGAAAGATTGTTTGAAGTGACTTTTCAAGTGTTTCAAGAATTTTCAGATGAGTTTTTTTATCTCTTTTTTTTTCTATGCTCCTATCTTTTCCATTTTTTTCTACTAATAATAATGTACTACTGCTTATATATAATATTATATTACTGTTCCCATTCTATTTCCTTATTTGGTGAAAACGTAAATGACAATGTCATTGACTTATTCTATTTAATTGAATTTGTTCCTTAGATATATAACACAAAAAACGCTTGAAATTTTAATTTTTAAGTAATATTTTTTTTATAACACGCGTCTAGAAAAGTGAAAAATGAAAGCTAAAATTGATAGCATGATCTTTACAATCAACTGTAAATCTTTAAATAGTTAACTAACACTTTTAACTGTTGAGTTTGAGATATATGTCTATATCATATAGTATTTTTTTAATTGAATAAATGAATATTTAAATATCTAAAATATAGAAATAATAATATATACCTATATATATATATATATATATATATATATATATATAGCAGTTAAGCTTTTTATGGGGTTATAGTATTTTTTTTAATTATATAAGTACCTATTAGGTGAGATATAAATTTAATAAGTATTCTTATCTATAATTATTTATATAATAGTTTCTAACATATGTTGTTTTAGTAATATAAATTGGAGATTCACAAGAAAATAACAAAGAAGAGGAAAAAAAGAAAGAAAACTATGAAGTTTGGACCAAGGAGTATTCTGATGAATTGTAACAATTGACAGTAGATGCTGTAAAAAGTAGATTACATGATGCTAATGGGTCAATTAGCAAACTAGTAAATGTGAGTAGAGATATCCTTTATCGTATCAATGCTAAAATTAAATTCCCTAAAACATATAATTATTACTTGAGTCAAATAAAGTGGTTTAAGAAATAATATAACAATATGTCAATTAGGTAAGTTTATTTTTTAAATAATATATTTATATTGCATGTGTGTAATTAGG